GCGTTCCGCATTTTGTAGCTGAAGGCCTTCGGCCGAATGTTCAGAGCTAGTACATTGGTTAGAGACTTGAGTAGTTCGGATCTGCACCTGCGGGTGACTGCCGATGCTCAGAGCCAGTGACTAGTTAGATACTTGAACAGTTTCGCCCCTACATCTTCGAGTGTTTGTTTCTGATTGTACTCCTTCGGGATTTTTCCCCTGAATGCCAAAGTGAAGTTTTGCTACTTCGTGTAAGCCTTGGTTGTAAATTCAGGTTACGCTGCAGCAGGTGCCTTCAGGGTAACCCCTGTAGTATTTCTGGGAATGGCAAGTGCCTGAGAATTCAAACTCTTCAATAGACTGTTATTGTGTTACTGGAATGTTTCTCAGTGAGTCCTTCAGTGCGGACCTGCGTTCTCTGCGCGTTTTGTGAGTTGAGAGTGTTGTTCACCGCGTCTGAGTGACTTCGATCCGAAGTAGGCAGTCCAAACCGGGTTTCCTACGCTAGCAGCAAGCTAGTGGAAGTGTTGTAAAAGCCGGAGTTGGAAGTCACTACCCGCAGCTTCGCTGAGTGTACTCTTGAGAGACCTCCCCCCCTGAAATCTTGAGTAGAGGTCCTAACGAATCTCTGGGTTGTGTTTCTGTAGTTTCAGGTGTGTGTGTGTGTGTTACGCTGCACTGTGCGACCTCCGAGTGCGCTCCGAGTGGACACTTGCAGTATTTCTGGGAGTGACAGTTGCTTGAGAATTCAAACTCCTCAATAGTCTGTTAAACGTGACACTTTGTACCCTGTGTGTTCCTCTGTCCCTGTGGGTTCGACCTTTCTACCACTATATTGCAGTTTTAGCCTTTAGTGGGTTATTACAGCAGAGAAATCTTGAGGTTTGGCGTTTTACAATCAGCGTATATGGATTTCACAAGATCACGATTTGCGCACAATGATTTTGGCAGAAAGTCATGATACAACCATTGCAAGTCATGTGGGAGTGGAGAAAACCGTGGAGAGTATACAACGAGTGTACTTTTGATCCAAAATACGTGATGATGTGGAGTTTTATGTTCGAAGTTGTGTTGCTTGTCAACAAAACAAGGCAAGTTATAAAAAACCAACGGGTTTATTACAGACTCTTCCTATTCCCGAACAGCAGTGGGAACATGTCATCATGGATCATGTATGTGAGTTACCAAGGACTTCGTTAGGACATGATTCAGTGGTGGTTTTTGTGGACAAATTGAGCAAGATGATTCACATCAGGCCAACCACAAAAATAGTAACAGCTCCACAACTAGCTCAATTGTATCTAGATGCAGTTTTTGTGAATCATGGCTTAAGCAAAGTGTTAATCACGGATAGAGGTACTCACTTCACTAGTTGATTTTGGAAAACTTTGTTTAGTTTTTTCAAAACAAAACTAGCAATGTCAACGGCCTATCACCCTCAAACTGATGGACAAACTGAGAGGGCAAATAGAACCATAGAGGATATGCTACGAGCATTCACATTAGAAGAGCAAGAAGAGTGGGACAACCTTTTGCCACTTGTGGAATTTGCATATAACAATTCTATTAATGCATTCACAAAAGTGTCTCCATTTTTTTTTTTATGTATGGAGCTCATCCTCCTTCAAGTTTGATGAGACTTCCCAAAGGAGAGGAGTTTTCGACCAAAGTTGCAACAGCCAACGAATTCGTGGAGCATATTCACCGAGTACTACATCAGGCCAAGGAGAAGTTGGTGATAGCTCAAAATCGGCAAAAGCAGCATGCCGATGCTCATCGTAGAGAAGTGATTTTTGAGGTTGGAGATCATGTTTGGTTGTCTACAACGAATTTTTCTCTTGTATGAACACCAGAGTTAAACCATAGGTTCATTGGTACATTTTTGGTTTTGAAGCGTGTTGGTGAAGTGTCATACAATTTGGAACTTCCGTCACATATGAAAATACATCCAGTATTTCATGTGTCACGATTGCGAAAACATGTACCACGACCAAAACAATTCACCAACCAACCAGCACCACCTCCTCTTCCAACCTTGATAGGAGATCATGAGTAGTTTGAAGTAGAAAAGATACTCAAGAAACGTATTCGAGGTCATAAATATCCCAAAGAAGAGTATTTGATTCAATGGAAAGGCTATTCATCGTATGAATCAACTTGGTAACCAGCTAAAAATTTAGCAATTGCACCTTTGATAGTTCAGGAGTTTGAACGTATGTGCAACGAGGACGTTGCATCTTAAAAGGAGGGAGGTTTGTAACCATCTTTAGTTAGTTAGAACTAAAGTAGAGGTTACTCTAAATATTGATGTAGATACTTTAGTGCCATACAGATACCTATCAAGTGCGCGGATCGCTGACGTGGCAGCTATGACTAGTGCACACTAAAGTATCTACATCAATATTTAAAGTAACCTCTACTTTAGTTCTAACAAACTAAAGATGGTTACATCCGCGCACTTGGTAGGTACAGAGTGGATGTGTTAGTTGATAGTGCCACGTCAGCAATCCGTGTGCTTGTAGGTAAGGATTGAGTGTGTTAGTTAGTGTGTTAGTTGGGTGCGCCACGTCAGCGATCCGTGTGCTTGTTAGGGTTATCCGCCACGTCATTCATCCACTAGGAGTGGGATGGATGGTGGGGATTAGATCTTATCACCTTGTAATTGTTGGTGAGAGCTATATAAGGGAGAAGAGAACCATTGTTGGTATCTCTCATCTTTAGAGTTTACGTTTCTATCTTCGAGTGAGCTTCTCTCTAAACCCTAGTGTTACACTTGATGCGTGTCCGTGTAGGGGTTGGCGCTGGTTTTCAAAGTAGTTTTACTCTTGTATGCTGTCGATAGTGCAACTAGACTTGATCACCAGCCGGCCTATTTTTGTTTCTCTCACGGTGAGATTAGAGTGATGATTAGTGAAAGACTGTAAAATGTCTCTTTGCGGTGATGTCAGGTTAGGTTGCCAACACCCCATAGCTAGTAGGACCATAGTAGCTTACTGTGGGCACGACGTCAGGTGCAGATTCGGCTACTTGGTGAGGATTTAATTGTGGTGCCAGCCGGGGTTGATGTTGGTTATCACGGAGCATTTTGATGATCATGTCGGGAATCAAAGTGGATTTATGCGGAGTGGGTTCAGGTATCGGCTATCTTTATCTATTCCAAAAATTGGTGCGGAGGACCATGTAGTTACAGACACCAAATTTTTTTATGTTGATATCGTCCAATATCACAACCTCGTTAATTTGGGACATGGACGGGATGTACGGTGTCATGAAGAGCCCATGACGGTACTCTGGTGCAGTCGGCATCATTGAATTGGATGACTTCATTCAAAAATTTGATTCGTGGTGTGATATACATTTTTACGTAATCCCACGCTGTTCACAGACTTCTTTGCTTAGAAGAAGTTATTTTTGCATTTGGATGGATCTACCATGAATGACTACCATAAGTTTGGAATAGACTATGCTATGGAGATTGACGCATGAAGATGTCATTGGTCTCCAAAATACTTATTCATTACCGAGGGTGGTGTTGATACTAGTGAAGGTGCTAGTGGTGTTGTTACTAGTAGAGGTGCGGATAGCAGCACAAGTGGAGGTAGGAATGAAGGTACCATGAGCAGTACTAATGGGAGTACTTGTGGAGCTTTATGTGAAGGTACTAGTAGCGAAACTAGTGGAGCATTTGGTGAGAATACTAGGAGCTGTACTAGTGGAGCATCAGGTGGGGGTACAAGGAGTAGTACTAGTGGACGTACCCATGCTACAGCTAGTGTAGACACTAGCAGTGGTACTAGTAGCACCGCTATTGACAACTAGGATGAAGTTCTTAGTGGCGTGCCTACATTTAGTCCGATTGCGGAGTTCTTCAAGAGGTCGAGCGATGAAGATTGAGAAGATTGAAGCTTTTGAACGAAAGACTGGTGAAAGTTTTTAAAGACATACACTTGTATGCGACGCTAAATCTCAATTACTCATGGTGTGATTGAGCCACTAGCTGTCTAATATTGATACCACATTTTGGACAAAAATTTGCGGAGAAGGGTTCGTGATGCTACTTTCACGAGCGATGCGTCACACACATTAGCCCATCTATTTGCTCTATTTGAGAAGATTGAACATAACATAGTGGAGGAGAGAGTCGTGACGTTTTCGTTTAGTAAGGACATGTTCACTACTTTTCGTGTTTAGCAGAATAGAGCACAATCTTGTTCTATTGGTGGTGGTAGTAGTGAAAGTCGTGGAGTTCCGACACGACATTCGTTAGATCACCAAAAAATGAAGGCAATGGTGTCTGCGCATCCATAAAAGGATGCGCGGACACCATTGCCTTCATTTTTTGGTCAGTAGCAAAGACCAGCATGTTGGACATGTGAATGAAGTCATGTGAGCAAGTATTGTACCTAAGAGGACGGAGTACGAGATTCATATGTTCTAACCTGTGAATTTCGTTCTTCGTCCTCAGTCGACACAAGTTGTGTGTGATTATTGTGGTCAGGCGGGTCATCCTCCAGACTGATGTTTTGACCTTCATCCTGAGTTGAGATCTAGGGATAGAGGTCGTGGTGCAGGTGTCACCGAACGGCCTATAGTGGATGCTACTCCTACCATAGAAGCCGCTATTGAACTATTAGCGTTTAGAGAGAAATTCACTCGAAGATGGAAACATAAATTTTGAAGATGGGAGATACCAATAATGATTCTAATCTTCTTTATATAGCTCTCATCAATAAGTACAAGAAGATAAGATCTTTCCCAACCTCCATCTCAATTCTAGTGGATGAATGACGTGGCGGATAATCCTAACAAACTCACGGATTGCTGACGTGGCGCTTCGCACTAACACACTCAATCCTTATCTAACAAGCACACTGATCGTTGACGTGGCACAGTCAACTAACACACATATTGTCTACCTATCAAGTGCGCGGATCGCTGACGTGGCAGCTATGACTAGTGCACGCTAACGTATCTATATTAACATTTAGAATAATCTCTACTTCAGGTCTAACTAACTAAAGATGGTTACCGTTATGGCTGCTCAGTTTGAGCAGTTGGAGCAGAGTCTTGCTGCTATGACTGTTTTTGGAGTAGAAGCTTCCACTTTTCAAGAAGAAGAAGATTTTTCTTATTTGGGAAGTGCATCCCAAGTTGAGTCCCAAGTAGTGACGAGAGGTGCTGCTTGTGCTTCAAAGCAACGCGATGCGATTGTGGAGTTGGATACTTAGAGGGATGAGGGTGAGAGGCAAGCTAGACTTCCCCAATCATTTTTGTTGTTAGAGCTGGACATGACTTCATCCATGATTCCTACAGTGTAGTTGAGGCATGCTCATCTAGTGTTAATAGTGTTGAAAGCAAGGAAGAACTACAGTTGTGGGTCAGGATGGCGCACATTTGAATAGTGGTTTTCCTCAACCAAGTGACTACAATCGGAAGAAATTTGATATAGGTCAGGTGAAAGAAAAAGGCAATGAGAGTGATGGGAGCATAGGATCAGGAAGTGGTCGGAAAGATTGGGGTAGTGACTTGGTCGAGGACGGGGAGTATGTAAGGGAATTGAACAAGAGAGAGTCGATGGAGTTGGATGATGAGGATTTTGATGACGACATAGAAGAAGTGCAGGTTGTGGAAGTAGAATCTGAATTTGAAATGCCACCCACGCTTCATGGCCCTCAAATGCAAGCGATTGATATGCTTCAAGGATGTAGAAGCATAGATGAATTTGAAAGATTGAACTTAATCAACGAGGGCACATATTGCAACCTTCGGGCTGCCTCTCACTTAGGTATACCTCATATAACTTTGCGGTAGCTCATCATGGTTTTTGAAGACTAGGATTACTACTCATACTTATAGCTCAAACATACTCTCACACAATCCCTCAATGTATCACTCCAACTCACACACACATTGACATTCCAAGATACTGAAAATTGTCACTCTTTCATATATGAAACAAGTCTCTACATATGAACTCTTCTTCCCTACTTCTCTATATATACTACTTGAGAAATTACCATAGTAATAAATGGTAATTCATGTATAATTTACTTTTACAAAGATAAACCATAGTAATGTTGACTAGTTATCAGTTTGTGGTAACATGCCATTGGACTCTTAAACCTTTTAGATATTTACTAATCTCTAGATTGAGGTGGCGACATACTATTTGTGTCTTTCCAACTTCTAGAACTTCCACTTGCCACTGAGTCAATAGTATACTTAGTCTAACTAATGAATATTCCTTACTTAGTCAAATCAATCAAAACTAAACATGGAGTCAAAAAGTATTTTCTCTTGAAATCTAGACTTTTGTACAAGTTAAAATAGAATTGCTCACTCAAATCTTCTAGAATATCTCTAGTTATTCCGCCAAGTATAGACCTTATAGCTAAATATAATTATAACTGGATAAACTTAGTTAATATTAGCTAGACTTAGTCATAACTAAGCTAACCATGATAAACTACTTGGTTACTTCTAGTTTTATTTCACACATAGAACATCCGGTCTTAAAGTATGGTGTAGTGTACACAGCACGGAATAAAAAGACCGGGGAGATTGTACCCTTGAAGAAGGTCAAGATGGAGAAGAAAAAGGAATGATTTTCAATGACATCTCTTAGTGAAGTCAATGTTTTCTTCTCTATCCATCATCCACACCTTGTGGATGTTAAGTAGATCGTTGTGGGAAGCACAATAGATAGTATATTCATGGTGATGGAGTACATGGAACATAACCTTAAAGGTCTCATGGAAGCAATGAAGCAGACCTTTAGTTAGAATGAAGTGAAATGCTTGATGCTACTGCTCTTTGAGGGAACAAAGTACCAACACGACAATTGGATCCTTCACTTAAACTTCAAAACCTCAAATTTGCTATTGAGGAACAGAGTAGAGCCGAAAATTTGTGATCTTGGTCCAACACAGCGATATGATAGCCCCTTGAAGGCTTACTCGCAAATGGTGGTTACTCTTTGGTACATGGCACGGACTTGCTGCTCGGTTCAAAGCAATTCTCTACAGCCATTGACATGTGGTCATTGGGTTGCATCATGGCAGAGGTCTAGGCTAAGGAGCCGCTTTTCAACGGCAAGTCTGATTTTGACCAGATTGACAAGATTTTCAAAATACTAGGAACTCCAAGCGAAAGAATTTGGCCTGAATTTGTAAAGCTACCAGGAATAAAGTGCAACTTCGCTAGACAACCCTACAATCGATTAAGGGAAAAGTTCCTTCCGACAATGTTTGCTGGAATATCGACAGTTGCTGAGAGTGGATACAATGGACTCATAACTTATGATCTTAAAAAGAGACTAACTGCAGAGGAAGCTTTGAAGCATGAATGGTTCAGAGAAGGACCATTACCCAAGTTCAAGAAGTTCATGCCAACGTTTCCTGCAAGGAGTGAGCACTATAGCAGGTGGCTCCGGAGGCTTATGGAAAGCCCTAATCCTCTAGAGGAATAGCGAAAGCGTGAGTTGCGCCAAGGTGAGCTCGTTGCAGGGGGACTTTTTGGCTGAGGTTACATAAGCTTACCATTCAGGGAAACGGGCAAGTCACGTGTGAATGAGGACGACTATGGTGGACAACTTATATATGCTCTAGGCATGCAGATTATCCAAATTTTGAGTCGACTTGAAAATTTGGAATGGCATTGTATGTTCTCGTGCATATCTTTGATTGGGAGGACGAAACTCCTTATCAATCTTGGTGTAAGAAATGTAATATACATAAGCTTTCGTGTACATTTTTTGGAGTTTAAGAAAGTAGATATATATTTTTGTGATACATTTGAGTCTGAATGTCTCGTGTCCTATATCTATGTGAGTAACATATCGGAAATATAGAATGTAGAGCGATATATTCGTACTACAAAATAACAAGAAGTAAAAACTATATTACAAAAAATAAATGATGAGTAAATATGACGTTCTGACCAAATCTACTCATACAGTTCTGTTTTACTAATGTTACATGATCAATAAAACATTACTTTTCAACGCCTAAACCAACGATTCTTGTATGGATTTGGGTCGCTTTAGCTTCTTAAAAAGTAAATTTGGAGATAGACCCATTCAATAAAAGGACTTGAATGGAATGATTAGTATAATACCGTAAGTATTTCACTTCTGTTGTGAATGGTACATTTTCCTTTTCCGGAATTGTTTGGGTTGATCCAGAAAAGGAAAAATACAAATACAAACTTCTCACTATACTCCAAAATACGGAGAATACTCCTATTCCCACGAAGTGTCAGCAGTGATAAAAATCATGAAGAGACTAGTACATAAACCACATACAGTCTGACTTTTTCAGGACTCCGTACACTTTTCTTCCATATAAACATGGCCGAATTTGCTTCAGATGGGATATTTAGCTATGAAATTCGCTAGTAACGGGTTGTGAAGTCCTAACAATCCGTTAAGGAAGCAAACTCATTGACAACTTAATATGACAATGTCATGTTTACCCATTACTCTATTGTTGGTAAACTTATTCCATAACTGGAAGTAAGGGCAGCCCTTAGAGGAAGGATGACCAAGAGCGACTCCAAGTAATGCGTTGCAAACACATATTTATGCTTTGTTGTTTCAGTCCATGGAGGTGATTCTTACACCGCATTACTTTTGAGCAAACAAGGTACAAGAACAAGCAGGACCTTATCTCCGAATATTGTTCGAAGAGAACTGAACGACGTCTATAACTGACCACGAGTGCCACCTATGACAAGTATTCCTTGAACTGTGATGTGTGCATGCATATGTCACATATGTGTCGTTAGAGCCACAATGTAATATTTTATATATGTAACATATGATGCGTAACATCTTACTAACATTGTGAATCTTACGGGAGCAAAGCTGTCATAATATAAGCTCTTATTGTAAATTACATTTAAAACATATGGGAATATATTTTGAGTATATTATTTAAGCTTTGATATAGAAATGGCGAGTATTTTAGAAAATACAGAAGGCATTGACTTCAATATTCTATCATTGGAGCGAACAAAAGTGAACATGTTTCGTCATGGAAATTAGAAAATTGTCAAGAAGAAGTGGAAAATATAATAAATTTCTTGGCAGTAATGAAATCTCAATGAAGAGCTCTTGACGAGAAGGATAGATGAACCAAAATTTTGTAACATTAACAGTTGGGTCCTCATGTTGCTATGGAAGAGTGAACTGGACAGATAACACATTATCATCACCTTGAAAAAAGTTACAAGTTCAATTGGTAATTCTATTCAAATTATGCCATGTATATTGATAATAGTGATCAAACCAACTTGAAAGAATTTATATGGAGATATGTATATTTAGAGTAGAAGAAATAATGTGTTGCCTAAGAGGTTAGATGTTAACAACTTGAAGTGATTTTCAAAGTGCTAGAATATTTTTTATTTTGGTGATTACAATATTCATTGACTTGACTGGGCATCATTTTAGTAGTTGTTTTGTAACTAACAAGTCACTGTTTTAAGGCTTGTGAAACTCCAAGCATTGAGAATGAGTTGAAAAAAAGTGGAGAACACTCTTTATACTTGAAACTATATCTCAAATTATCAGATGTCAAAAGTGAGCACCATACTCCATTTTAGATGATTCATAAATATATACATCAAAAGATTTCATAATTTATTAATAGATCTTATAAAAACATTTTTGCAAGACGGGTACATATTTTTTTCTTTAATATATTTATGGGTATTTCTTTTCAGCATTCGAATTGAAAAATATTACTAGCTTAGTTTGAAAAGATATGATTCTGTCAATTAGAATAGCGCATAATAAATAAATTAAGTGGACGGTTTTTACAATGATTTATTCTTTAATTATAAAAGGAACAGAACACTTCACTAAATTGTGATGTGTTCGAAATTTTTGTTTTGAATTGAGTTATAAGTCATTTCTATATAATTGTTTCATTTATAATTTATATTTCTTTCATATGGTAATTTTGATAATCATAACTCGAAGTATATTGAACAAGTGTAGATGATCAAAATATATTACTTTGAACGTTTTTTGATTTAATCTTGCTGCTCTTTAGATGGTTTACATAAATTATCTTGCTTTGTTATGACTTGATTTTCGTCTTATCAACGGACCTTATCTTTTCAGTCAAAGATTTTCAGGAAAATTCTTCAATATCAAAAAATAACAAGGGTGAAGCCATAGATTACTATTTTTACTTTCATGAATCATCCAGGATTATGGGTTGGAAGTATCTACCAAAGCGCACGAAGAACTTATACACTAGCCCTAAATTTTTTACTAATTTTATTGCAAGTTTTTCTTTGCGTTATTTCTAAAAGCGTTTCTATATGTGAGATAATATCCATGAGGTTCTAGTTTACTCATTAGGAACTGTGTCCACTTGCTTGCAGCATGTTCTGCTACCGCTTTGGGGTTCTTCTGGATTCCAGACTTCGAGAGATCGTGACACTAAATCTTTAACCTCTGACACCGAAACTCTCTCTGAACTCTCATGATCAAAGCAACTGGTAATTAGTTACTGTACTTTAGACCATTAAAAGTAACATTTTAAAGCTTTTGAGTATATTAATATGAAAAAATCTACATATTAATTAAAATTATTTTTTAAGATCACAATGTATATCAACTTATGATACTTAAAAGATATTATCCAATCAAATAATTTTAAAGGAACATGAATAAGATTTATCAATGAAGTAAAATAATCTTGGAGATAAAATTATATTACAAGAAAAAATATCTTATTAATGTATTTACTATGCGCATCAAATTCATTTCTATAAAATTGCAAATTATTTTCCATCAAATTCAAACAGACCAAGTTGGTAATAATTTTCAATTGTTTGATGAGTTGGCTTATGTAAAGCAATGATTCATTTCAAGCCTTTATTATTTTCTTGATGTGCAAGATCGACGACTTATAACGTTAAAATGGATGGTGTGTGCAAGTACCAAAATATACCAAATTTGATCAATTTTCATTTCATTTTTTGGCCTAAATGTATTTTTTTTATTGATGACAGTTGATATTTATTGCATAATTTGACTTCTTCAATATTTTATGAATTCTTTTTATTTTGAAACTGAATTTTTTAACATTTCTAATAAATTGTAACTTATTGAAGAAAGTAATCTTCTTATAGATTAAGTCCTTTAAAATACAAGAGGTGATATTATCTTGGATGCTATGACGTGACTTGATAATATATACTTAAAACTATCAATTGACTTTTTTCATCTATATTGAACCTTCATGTAATAGAAGTTTAGGCTAATGTATAAATATTTATTGTCGACCGTGATATCTTCTTTGCTTCTATTGCTTGTTTCACAATCTTAGCTCAATCAATTTATTTACATTTTTGTTACTGAATTGTAACTGGTGATTCACTTTAGATCTAACATGTTTTCATAGGCTTCATTGCTCATGCAGTAACATGACTTCGGCTTGCATGATGCATTTGGTAATTTCCTGTTTATTTATGTTGAAAAATGAGAAAATTATTACAAACAAGGTTCTTTATTTTGTAATTGATTAAAGTCGTGAATAATTTGAACTTGCTTTGAATGCAACGAGTTGCATCCAGAGTTTTTGAATGGATGTTGGCAAATAGAGGAAAATTAGATCGTTCTTTCTATTATTCTATAAAATATAGCCTTGAAATTATTGGGGCTTCAGATACGGATAATAATTTGTTTTTGTGAAAATGAGTTAAAACATTCGATATTAGTCAGAGAAGAAAAATGCATATTTAGATTGTTGTGTAGCCAATTGCAGTCAAGATATGTTTCCAATGGTGTATAAAGCATAGTCAGTGCTATTCATAGTAGGAGTAGTTACATATACATAAGATGGTGCAATTTTCCATATACTTGTGTGGTTTGATCTGAAGAGTTTAGACTTATGAATATAGTAGGACATATTTCCACTGAAATGCTATGTGAGCGTAGCATCAGCATCGTTTGGTTCATCCTTTGAGAGATCTTCATCTTATTTGCCATATTAATTGCTCCATTTTTTCACCGAATAGTAAACGAGTCTGTATGTGACTTGTCACAAGAGGTTGTGATAAATAATTTCTTGATACCTCACCTTTTACACCAACTGCGTGAAACCAGCTTATGATCGTCGTAAAATTTGAAACTGACATAAATTTACGGTTGTTCTCTCGCGAGAAAAGTGGACAGCAGTCTCTCTGTAGTAGTAGCCGTGGAACTCTATCCCTTCATACGGGGGCGGAGGGCCCTACCAAAGGTTTAATTATATTTCCAAAATTCGCATGTCTTGGATATGCTCTTAACAGAGTTGATCAATCCTCGACAAAAAGAGATAGTTTTAAGGAAGTCGACATCTTCTTCCGAGAGGAATACAAGAGCCTACAATGCTATTAGACACATTGGTGAGGATTGCAAACTGTTTTCAAGTGCACTATTTTTGCAATTTTGCGTACTGTACAAAACCTTAAAGGCTAAATTTATTCTTACTTGAGAAAAACCCTCATCGCTGTGTCAGAACGATTTGACCTTGTATTTGACGTACTGGAGAACTTAAAAGTCCCGTCCACTTCCGTACTCAAGATATTCATTCGATAGCACGGGACATTGTGAACAAACAATGTATTTTAAAAGTCACAAGTGTGTTCTTCTTTGGGATGAATTGGGATTCATGTACGGAGGCCGTTGTATTCGCCGTTTATAGGTGGGGTCTTCCGGTCATCGACCCGATGGATGCGCTAGAAGAGAAGCGTCGCGAATCTGCACTCGCGCTCGCCTTGTACAACGTCCGCGACGCATCGAGCTCTCGGGCCGCTGGTACGGTACGGAAACCGGGCAGGCCGTCCCGACGAGAACCATGGATCCGTCCACTTGTATCGAGGGGAGGGCCGCCGCCGTGCGTCTTGGGATTCCGATCCGCGGAGGCGTTTGAGCGCGAGAGCGGTCTGGTCCTACCGGTCCAGCCCAGCTCAGCTGAGCTCAGCTCGGGAACGATTTTGCGCTACTCTTACAACTGTCAGTTGGTCCGATTTGAAAGTATATGTTGGGAGAGATATCTGGGTGCTGATGTTCGAATCGCGTGTGACGGATCGATCGGGCCTGTGTTGCAGCAGGAGCAGGAGCAGCAGCAAGTGTAGGCAGGGCTGGGGAGTTTCGGCATTTGGTAGCTGATCGATTCTCGGTGGAAGCGGTGGAGTGCTGTGGACCGGTGCGATGGCGGTGCTCGCGGGAGTCGGTCACGGAGCTCTCTTGAGTTCTGCTGCTGCCGCTCTTCCTCCTCTTGGGTCCGGATCCCCGAGGCCGACGGTTTCTTCAGCCGCTTTCGGCAAGTCGGCTCCATGGGTACTGAAGTTAAGCATGCCGAAGAGACGTGTCCTGCCTCCTGCAAAGGTTTTGAGGATTGTCATGACTTCTACTTTACCTTCCGGAGCCAAAAGTGCATCGTTCAAGGAATTATCCATGTAAGCGATTTGGACCCTTTTGCCTTGTTCGGAAAGTACGGCGAAAATTTCGGATTATTAATGTGCACATTTTCCACATATACTGTTGCCTTGCTGCTTGACTTTTTATGGAGTCATGAAGCTCTCTGTCACGGACTTGTTGTGTCGATGTCCTGATTCTGCAATTTTTTCGTTGTACGAAAATTGCCAGAAGATTTCAAAGTTGCAGTCTCGAAGGATATGCTGGGTACTCCATGAACATCGGAACTGATTGTCCAGTTGTTAATTAATTGTTGCTTGATGAACTGGAACATGCCTCCATTGAGGTGAGACAAATGGAGGCCTGTTGACATTTGCATTTGTCTTCTTAACACAACAAGACAATTGCAAGAAGATCATTCAATCATTCCTTCCATGCACTATACATCATACCATGCAAATCCCGTCATAAGAATCTCATATTTTTCTTTAATCTTGCAGAGAAGCGCCTCCGAAAGTTGCGCATGCACAAAAGCTTCACTCTCTGTCTCCTGAAAAACTAGAGATATTGAAGTCGTTGGATGCATGGGCGGAGGATAATTTATTGCCGTATTTGAAACCTGTGGAAAAATGCTGGCAGCCTCAGGATCACCTCCCGGATCCTTCTTTGGAATCATTCTATGACGAAGTAAAAGAGTTACGAGCGCGAGCTTCTGAATTACCCGACGACTATCTCGTCGTGTTGGTGGGGGACATGATTACTGAAGAAGCTTTGCCCACTTACCAAACCATGCTGAATACTCTCGATGGAACGAAAGATGAAACTGGTGCCAGTCCCACGCCCTGGGGCACATGGACTCGCGCCTGGACCGCTGAGGAGAACAGACATGGAGACCTTCTGAATAAGTACCTCTACCTGTCGGGCCGGGTGGATATGAAATCTATTGAGAAGACCATTCAGTATCTTATTGGCTCAGGCATGGTAAGAAGTTCATATGTAATGTTTGTTTGGGTGAAGATTTCTGCCAAGATGTTTTGTTCATTGCTATCTATTATGGACATGTCTTCCCTCTATCATTAGCCTGTCGATGTAGTTTTCTTTTGATGGATGCTGACCACACTTAGCGGTGGAATTGGTGATGACCAGGATCCTCAGACTGAGAACAATCCATATTTGGGATTTGTGTATACATCGTTTCAAGAGCGAGCAACCTTCATCTCACACGGAAATACAGCGCGTCATGCGAAATCATACGGTGACACCAAGCTCGCTCAGATATGTGGACTCATTGCATCAGATGAAAGGCGACATGAACATGCATATTGTACAATCGTGGAGAAACTTTTTGAGGTGGATCCTGATGGGGCAATGCTGGCTTTCAGTGACATGATGAGGAAGAAAATTGCCATGCCTGCCCATCTAATGTACGACGGAAAGGATCGAAACCTGTTCAACAGATTTTCTTTGGTTGCGCAGAGAACTGGCACGTACACCTTTAGAGACTATGCTGATATTTTGGAACATCTGGTCGCAAGGTGGAACGTGTCTAGGATGGAAGGTCTCTCTGCCGAAGGTCGAAAAGCTCAAGATTATCTGTGCAATCTGGCTCCTCGCTTTAGGAAGTTGGAACAAAGAACGCAAGCCAGTCTGAAGAAAGGGACTTCGACTATTGGAGGATTCGATTGGATATTTGGCAGAGAGGTTCGGCTCTGGTAGTACGAGCTCCAATGTCAGTTGTATGACGTGAAGTTTCAGTATTCGGAGGTGTTCAAGGTTTCAAGGGGTCGTATGCATCATATAATTTCCTATATGGAGTATGTTGGAAATACAGAAAAGGATTTCGATCCTACGTCAGTGTTTTCCCTGTACCAGCTCTTGTGAGATGCCAATTTTCAGACATTATTAAGTGATCGAGTTCATTGTACTTCAGATATCCACTGGAACCCGGGTGGACTATGACGAACTGTAAAATATTGGCCACACAACCATATATGTCAGCAAGTGAACGAGCAATCTGCTCTGTTCAAAAGCGGCAACGTAATGGTTTAGCTAGACATTGTTTATATTGCAGACACTGCTCCTGCCGTGGGTTTAGATGATTGTGATACTTGTACATTGTGTTCCATATCCGTATCAAAGAACTCAATCATTTATCATCTTGAATCGACTGACAATCGTGGGTTTCCAATATGTCTACAGTTTCACATGTCTCGCTCCTTCAAAGTTTGTATGGATTTGGCTCATTCTCACTACCTTCTAAAACACAATGATCGATTTCAGAGGACATAGCACAAAATGAATTGTGGAAGTAAAATCAAGTCGACCTTCATCATTCTTGCACTCGTAATAGAGCTATGTCTTTGAATTTCAAATAATGTATAACTTGAAACACTCCAGAATGAAGCTGGTGGTGGATGTAGCTGGTAGACACAGGTGAAGAAGTACTGCACATTGTTCGGTGCACGTAAATCAAACAAGTAGACAGTTTTCTTTCACTTTCATGCCGTTGGACAATCTCCTACATGCAACCGATTGGACAGCTTTCACTGGAATTCAAAAAATCCAACGAAGCTGAGAACTCAGTTGTTCTACAACAAATCTTTCAAACGAAGTACTCCAGATCAGCAGCGATTTGTTTGAAAGCGGATACAGGGACATAACAAGTTTTGAAATTCCTTCAGCAAGATTAAGTGGCGGTTGTACTTTTCAAACATGTCAAGATGGAGACGTGCATGTCGTATCACGAAAACTCGTGTTTCCTTGCTATGCATAATGTAGAGCGGCCTTATGTCACAGCGATCAAGTCCACTTTAAGTCAAAAAGTGATTGAAGCTTTTCTTTGGAAGACGTGGACAGCCAAAAACCATGCGACAGAGATTTTAAGACTAGCACAGTATCCATCTTATGTGAAGACAGTGTGCTGGTAAGCTTTTCAATTGCTGCATAAAGTATTCACTTCTCCTCCAGGTCCCTACAACGTCTCAGCTTCATGCAATTTGATCACGAAATCTCTGCAAGAACCAACGTATACCGAGTTGCTAAGTCACATATACGCAGGATGCTTGCCGTTTGTCGGATCACTGGTCGAACAGAGAAGACAAGCTGAATGGCGAGAGCTGGATTGGAAAACCGAAGCGATGGTGCTGTGGTAAAGGAAGAAAGAAAAAGAAATTGAAATTGGGGTGAAGAAAGAAACTGTTGGCGGACGGTAAACTTTGTCAGTCAAGCCAATGCTCAACAAATTCACTTCTTTGACTTTTGCATCAGTTCCTTGGGTAAGTTCAATTTTTTATTACTAGATTCCTCACGTGTGAATATATATAATCAGATTCTCAAACTAAGCGTGGTGCCCATCACCTAATGAAGTTCTTTCTTCCATCACTTATCAGTAGTTTTGAGTTTGGGTTTTACATTGGTTTCTACAGCAGACTTCTTAAGGGCTGCAGTGGGTCAAGTATGTGGCGCTCCTGCCATCTCCAAATCAACGGGAGTCAAGATCATTACAAAGTTACTACAGTAATATCATTCTCCAAGAGAAAGACAGTGATGATGATTATATTTGTCTCAAAATGGAATTATTTTTGTTCATATATCTACGAAGAAATCTCAATAGCTGATGACAGCAGAAGTTGACATTTTATTGTAGGTTCCTTCAGGAGACCAACGTTAGGATCTGAAGGTCAACTTCAAAAGTGGCTGTCACAAGGTTTTTTAAGTTCGAACTTTTCCTAAACTTCTAGCCAAGTACAGTACCCTTCATGTCGCCTACTTCAATATATCTTATTGGTGCATGTGTGCTCCACTTGCATGTGTGGTGCCTATATGAGAGTAAATTATGGCGTTAATTCCAGTATTGGGGAGTTAGGGAATTTGAAATTGCTCGCTGTGTTCACAGTACAGAGTTAAACCTCCCAATAGTGACACATAACCGTTCTAGGGTTTTATGTCACTATTGGGAGGTGTCACTCACAAGAGGATATCTAATCTTTTCCCGCGTTATTTGCGTTCGATGGGCGCTTCTTTCTTTCTCAACAAATCTGTCATAGTGCCTTCATGGGCGTTTCTTTCTCTCTCGCTACAATCTGTCACAGTTGTTATGCATGAGGTAGTCGTTTCTCTCTCAACGCAATCTGTCACAGTTGTTATGCATTAGGTAGTCGTTTCTTTCTCAACGCAATCTGTGTGGTGCCTATATGAGAGTAAATTATGGCGTTAATTCCAGTATTGGGGAGTTAGGGAATTTGAAATTGCTCGCTGTGTTCACAGTACAGAGTTAAACCTCCCAATAGTGACACATAACCGTTCTAGGGTTTTATGTCACTATTGGGAGGTGTCACTCACAAGAGGATATCTAATCTTTTCCCGCGTTATTTGCGTTCGATGGGCGCTTCTTTCTTTCTCAACAAATCTGTCATAGTGCCTTCATGGGCGTTTCTTTCTCTCTCGCTACAATCTGTCACAGTTGTTATGCATGAGGTAGTCGTTTCTCTCTCAACGCAATCTGTCACAGTTGTTATGCATTAGGTAGTCGTTTCTTTCTCAACGCAATCTGTGTGGTGCCTATATGAGAGTAAATTATGGCGTTAATTCCAGTATTGGGGAGTTAGGGAATTTGAAATTGCTCGCTGTGTTCACAGTACAGAGTTAAACCTCCCAATAGTGACACATAACCGTTCTAGGGTTTTATGTCACTATTGGGAGGTGTCACTCACAAGAGGATATCTAATCTTTTCCCGCGTTATTTGCGTTCGATGGGCGCTTCTTTCTTTCTCAACAAATCTGTCATAGTGCCTTCATGGGCGTTTCTTTCTCTCTCGCTACAATCTGTCACAGTTGTTATGCATGAGGTAGTCGTTTCTCTCTCAACGCAATCTGTCACAGTTGTTATGCATTAGGTAGTCGTTTCTTTCTCAACGCAATCTGTACTTGTTTGGAGGGAGTTTTTTTTCTCTCTTAATCTACACCCGTTTTTATTCACACATGTCTAAACGCAAGCTTTGTTTGGACGTGAAGACGAAGTTGGAAATTTTGGATTTTCTGAATCAGCCCGGAGCCACCCATGAAAATTTGAAAATTGAAATCTTTTGACTTGTTTTCCTCCTCATGGATTTGGCTCCATCCTGACCAACTTGAAAAGGCGTGAAAATATCCCACTGGCAGAACCGACCTGTTCTTCTTTCCACTCGATTTGTCTCAATTTCCTTCCAGCACTCTTCCCACAAGGGTTTAAACATCGCACAACCAGATTGCAACGAGTGAGCAGAGACAGACGTCTGATATCGTCGACGTCTTCGCTCACATCATTTGATCAGTGACACGGATTCAAGGTCTGAGAATATTGTAACCACTGAGAAGATTTGGGATAGACCAATCAGCAAGCTCCGAAAGTAGACTTTTAACTCTGAACAAAGACTTTTGGTAATTATGATAGCTATTAAAGGTCGACATAGTCACTCTTGAAAAATGTAATGACACTATTAACAATAGTGACGTACTGTTATTATTGGATAAAATTACCCGTTAGAAACTAATGGTTCTTCATTTTCATGTCACTCACAAGAGGTGACACTATCGGGAGGTTTAACTCTGTAGACAGAGTGGTGGCATTCGTTGTTGTTGATTCGTTCTGTTCCCTACAGTGTGGAAAAGTGTACATCTGAGTCAGCTGTTGCTTTGCAACGATTTGCCTTTACGCTACAATGAAGGAGTTGCGCTGAGCGTGCAAAGCGAAGTAAAGTGAAATAGAATATTTTGCGTCCCACACTGCAGTGCGCAAACTAACTGCCCGCATAGACCAGAGTCACAATACGGGATCAAATTTATGCCTTTACAATCGAACGTGTTACATTATTCGAGAAGTGAAAGATATTCCTTACCGTCACCGGAATATTCTCGTGAAGACAACAATGAAGCATTAAGCAATGTTTCTCTATGGGGTTTTTCGCATATTGTTTAGTCTTCAAATACTTTTATGCATGGAAGCTTGGAATTGCACTTTTATAATGGAACGACGAGAGGATAGATGGTTATGTGATTAGCACTATATGAAATATCCGAATATTCAAGTGTACCTGATGTAAAACTGGACTTACGGCGTTTGCTCACTATACTCCGTCACATTCTCAAGCACAAAACCCAACGCAGTTCTCGGTCACATTACGTGGTTCTGTCTTGAAAAACTGCGGTTGCCTTCTCTACTCTCTCTCTACCGAGTCGGGTACAAATCGCCAGGCACCGTCACAACTCACAAGGATGAGGATGGATGACGATGACGATGACGGACGGAGAGACCTCTTCCCACAACGTGCAACGTGGCGAGAAGAACGATGCACTCAGATACGAATTCACTCGAGAAGACATCGAGCCTTTTTCTTGGACTTGCATTGATTTGTCGGGCGGAAGCCGAAGGGATTTCCCGAGTGAGGACGACGATCCTGCCATAAGCAATGCGCAGCTCGCAGACTCACCTTCCTTCTTGTCTCTTCGAGAAGCCAACGGCGGAGCTGCCCCACAGTCGGCACAATCAAAGTAGAAGAGCTCCTTTTTAGTTGCACGTCCTTGGACTTCGAAGTCAAGCTCACTCACCCACTCTCTCTCTCCTCAAAGTCCTTGTCGGAGCTGCCGACGTGACGTGGCAAGCAAGGAATTCTGTGGCGGGATTCTTCCTTCCTTCCTTCGCTATTCCGAGGCCGATGGAGACGACTCAAACATTCGCGAAGGTCGGGGGCAAAGTTAGGGGCAAGCGCAGCCGAGGGACGGGAAGGGGAGGGAAGGGACGGGGAAGACGGGGCTCGATGCCGTGGAGACTCTGACGTGAACTGCAGGTGCCTTGCTATGGGGGCTCCGAGGGCCCGCAAGCGAAGCCCAGCAAGCCGAGTCCTGCGCCGGATCCGAGCGGGGACTGTCGAATGCTTGTATTTTGTCGATCGACCAGCGATGCAGTGAGGATTGGCAGAATTGCGTAATCGGGCGCTGGATCCGAGCTTTTTAGAGTACCGCCAGGTCAAGGAGAAGGCAAGGAGAAGGCGGTGGCGCAGATTGCAGATCCGCAGGAGGTTTGGGAAATCTATCGATCGCCATGGGCAGCCTCTGCTCGTGCTGTCGTGGGGATCCCAAGGAGAGCGCAGAGGAGCGAGCGAAGATGAGCGAAGCTCAGGCGAAAGCCGGTCTTGCTGCACAGCAGAGGTGAGCACGTAATCTTCGAATGCCCCTCTTCCGCTGAATCCTGGTTCGCTGTGATGTCGAGCTCGGAGCTGAACGTCAAGCTGGCCTTCAGCGAATTGTGACCCAGCGCAGGTGAATGTTTGTGTGCCGGACGGGGGTGCTGAAGAAAAAATCCGGAAGCAAACGCTTCGTAGGCAGATGATGGGCTTCACTCGCAACCAGACAGAGCAGAGCGGTTCTGACTGTGCAACGCTTTTTTAAGAAACGTACCTTCATTTCCCGTTCGCGTGTTCTGGAGCAGCTGTCGTGATGCGGGCTCTCAGCTGAGATTGCGAGGTTAACTGGAGTGTAGACGCTATTGACGTCTCGCTCTAAACTCGTGTTCAGTTTTCATGGAATTCCACGGTTCTAGGTTCAGACTACTGTGCGGACAGCTCATGTGACCATGTGAAACTCTCCATTCAATTGTTGACGAGTGGGACGGACTTAGAGTGCAATTGCCTTGATAGCCGTCACTTTCTTCAGCCTAATGTGCGCTCATTTGAATCTGTTGCTGCCGAAAGAGAAACCCACTCTCACATTTTCTCAGGTCACTCTTCAATGTACCTGAACAACATTAGGGTATACAAGGAGATGACTACTCACATTGCCGTCGTTAATTAGCCATGATTTGAGTTGTCAGTGTAGGAATAGAAGGTTTTGCGTCGACCTCATGGATGAATGCTGATTAGCGACTTGGGAGGTGGAATTTAAGGAATTTGTTGATTTTGCCACTAATCTTCCGTCGTAGGAAGTCCTGATAACACAGGACAGACTTAAGTTTTGTCACTCTCAGCTCTATAAACCTTGGACGGGCTCATGGCATATTGGAGAAGCTGAGAGTCTTGTTTGCAGATTTTGCTGTTGTCATAGCTATGTTCAGGGCAAGAAGGCATCGGCCCTGAATACTATGAAAAATTATTATTTCAAATACCATCTAGAATCCATATATTTTCGCGGCCGTGGTTAGGAATCTCTCTGCTTTAGGATATCCGCATATCCACCGAAACTTGAAGATATTTTTTTTCTGTGCTAGATATTATGTTCTAATAACGAATGGGCAATGAGTTTCTAAACGCAAGGAGATCATGATTTGTCTTGCAACCGGTTCTCCCGCCAATATTTGCGTTCTTCCAACTTATGAGATCTCAAGAAGAAGACAGCAGAACGAGCTAGCCACAGGCTTTGCTCCCCTTCACTGTCTAGTCAGGGCTGATGTCCACGAGCGGTTTAAGCTAAGAATCAAGTAATGGTAGCTTCATGGAGGGGTCGGAGATTCTGGCTAAAACGAAAAGCGTGGGAAAGGTACAAGTCGCGAAGGCTAGGACTGACATCTAGCAGTTAGCTTCAAAAGCAGATATATGAACTCAATGACTAAGTTGTCGACCGGTGCCTCACAGGGCAAGCTTACTGAACTTTATTATGTGATTCTGGTACTGTGTTCTTCGAAGGTTATGTAATGTTGTCTAGGGAAGCAATTCAGCTCCTGGCTGTTTCTGCTGAGTGCACTTTTGTTGTATGAACTTGTGCATAAATGCTGCTGTGGGGTATGGCAGAATGGAGGCATTTGAAAAGTCTGCAGCAGGCAGAGCGGCAAAGAAGGTGGCAGCTGAACTTGCGAAACCTCCGCCTCCTTTGAGCAGGGGAGAGCCTGCACTCAGGGTACGGAAAATCTCCGGAATAAACTTAATCTAGTCTTCATGCTTCTCAAGTTACGAAGGAATATGTGTCGTTTTTCATTTAATGAGCAGTTGCCTCGTATATAATATCTTCGTGCTCCTGTTGTTCGTTTTGAATGTGCGTCGTTTCGGGATCGTACTAATTTCCACACGTGATGTGGCGGTGAACAGTGGCAAGTTGGTTGATGGAAGCGCTAGTTGAAAAAAGATTCACTATCAAATTGACAAAAAATTTCATTTTCAACTTCGATGGGAGCTTTATTCAAAGCTGGACCATGGTCCAACGATGGAGAACATGCCTGAAGGACAGCAAGGAACGCTCCCTCACTCAAAACATGTAAATTCAATCCTCTTTCATTTCCCAGGACGTAGCGAGACGTAAAGAAATAGTTTGTGTGTATATTCTCTCATGCGGAGAAGTCTAGATCCAAATTTCTGTCATGAGCATGTGCCTGACAGTGCCTTAAGGCCGTAGACCTTGTGGTACTCTAGATTCAATAGAAAGTTACAAAAGAAAGGATTTATTTACAGAGGTGTAATGCAGATTCCTCGTGTTCATAATTTATATTTTTTGACCCAGGAGCTTGTGGTCTCTTAGTATTGAGAGTTATTTTAAAGAAATTCACCATGCGTCAGACGTTGTTGCGTTATGTCTGGAATTTAATACAGCCAGTTGACACGTGGTGCAATTGCCTAGAAATTTGCTGTTTTTGGAGCAGCTTCTCGTTCCAGCTTGTTTGAAGCACTTGGTGAATTTATTCATGACGCACTGTGTCATCAATTTATGGCCGAAATCGCGAACTTGTAAATACAAATACCAGGCTGATGTGCCGCGTAACCATATCCTGTGTTGGTCATCTTCAGCACTTCTGGTTTCAGCCATTTGGTCTGGTTTAGTGTTGTTCTTGTCTGTCCTGAGAGGCGAAGCTTCCAATTCCATGAGTCACCCTTTTGCATCTGGTTGTTGTTAGTCTAGTGCATACGGTAAACACTAATAACAGCCGCACTTGCTTATCAGAGGGACTTGCACACTTATTCCACTACCTTCCCGGGTCGATGAATGATGGGAGGATTAGCTTTTGTTCCTTAAATGCCAAATTCATGGATGTTCCAGGACAGGGAGAATACTCATATCAAACTATGAATTTCCTACATTACGAATTGCTAGAGTCTGACTGGCTACCTTGTGATACTCGGTCCCAGTGCATCTCGGAATGTATGTTTCCATGTTTTGAGAGACTCTCACAGATTTTGGTTAGTCTTGTGATATTTGCATTACCTCTTCTTTGTGTGTATTCAAGTCGTCCTTCCACTGTCCCACAGCTCTGGAAAACGTAATGTTTTTAAATTCATGCTCATGAGGACGTATACCCATATGAGAACCTGTAACATCATACGTGCTGGTGTGTACCCGTGGGATGAACATGCCCGCAGGTGGCACACAAGCTATATATGTCACATGATGGCTACAATAACGACTCTGCCCAGGTCTTACAACACGCACAAGAACACTGAGAATTCGCAGCTAGTCTACACTCTCCACGACGATGCCATACGGTACTAATACAGAACATCGACGTAGAAGGAAACGTCCCCACGATCCGTCCATCACGTACGCCCTTGCTTATTTGAAGCATCAGCTTAAAGGGGCCAAGTCGTTCGTGATCGGCCACTTTCGCTTGCCACTGACAATCGCGAAGTTGGTCGTGGAGCAAACACGATGTGACATCACGCAATCATCAACATTGAAACCCATTGGGGCTCGAATAACTCCGCTTTCAAGACGTACCGTAATCATCAACGAAAAGGAGGATACGAGACTTTGAAACAAGGGCCTTCAGGACGTCCGGCACCTCCGAAAAGGGGGTCTGCGGAACGCAAAAATTGCCAGAGTCTGGGACAGGATTGCCATCGTGGACGTGCGACTGGCCCCCAAGCGAAGCTGGAGAGGACGTGGCGGGGGAGAAGAGCGGGGACGAACGAAGGAAGGCAGCGGACGGATGCGATGGATGGGGGGGAATCTGTGGCCGAAATGCGAGTGCGGGCGATTGGGCGATAGAGGATAGCGAGGTTCGATGGCCGGGTGACGTGGCGCGTGGGCATTGGGCGAATCTGTCCATGGAGCGAGCACCTGAGACGCAGGGGGAACGAGCGAGCGGGCCAAGCCCAGGTCGCGGGTTGTGGCCAAAGCTGTCGACGACATCGCTCCTGCGAAGCAAATTCTGCGTCGCCAAGCGTTGAGGCCAAGCGTACCCACGGGCCCCCCTGCTCGCAGGCGAGCGAAAATCTGCAGTCATGGCGGCAGTCAGAGCAGCTGTTGGAGCGCCCGGAGTTGCCGCCGTCCTCTCGTCGGGCGTGGAGCACAAGTCCGTTTCGTCCTCCTCCGCCTCGGCCTTCGTCGGTGAGTCTCTTCAATCGAACAATTTTTAGTGCGCCGGGCAATTCCGAACGAATTTAGTGCTCTTCTGATAAGAAAACTGTTCCTTGAAGGCCGCGCCGTGAGTGGCCAGGGAAATTGGCTTGAACATGGTCCTAAATTCGCTTCGGAGCTTGAGGTGGAAGGGTTTGAAGAAAGTGGTTCTAGCCCCCGTCGATGATGTATAGAACGCTAGAATGTCCAAGATTTTTGTCGCTCGTGCTGGTTCACGAGGGCACCAATGAAGGCATTAAGAGTCATGTATTTTCATTTCAGCCGCACGAATTGACCTTGGCTTGAATGCGTGTGTCTAGGTTATGCTGCGTCCAGGAGTCCCGTCAACGGTTGCAAGTTGCAATGCAAGTCTCTGAGAAGTCAGAGGCGTGGGAAGGGAAGAGCCAGACTTGCTATCACCAATGTGGCCACCTCCGAGCCTCAAACTCAGGTCAGTGGAAGCATTTTTTGATATGTTGTGGTTCTGGAGCGCCTGAAGACATTCGTGCCTGCTTTCTTGTTTCTGTGGTTTTAATTGTTAATGTCTCGCAAGGGCAATTGAATTTGCGATATGGAGGATGTCGGATATTTCCGTGTTAAAACCGCCCCCTTTTTGCGTTTCAGGCCGCACCGGAGAAATCCTCCAACAAGGACAACGCAAGACCTGTTTTCCCCTTCACCGCTATTGTTGGACAGGATGAGATGAAGTTGTGCTTGATACTGAATGTCATTGATCCCAAAATCGGAGGAGTGATGATTATGGGAGACCGAGGTACCGGCAAGTCCACCACCGTCAGGGCCCTTGTCGACCTTCTGCCAGAAATCAGGGTCGTTGCAGGTGATCCATTCAACTCCGACCCAGAGGACCCAGAGCTCATGAGCGAGGATGTCAGGAAGAAAGTTCAGGGAAACCAGGAATTGTCTGTGATTTCCACCAAAATTAACATGGTCGATCTCCCCCTCGGAGCTACAGAGGACAGGTAAATGTCGAACTCTCTCGAAAGTTGGTTTGTCTATTTCCCTCTGTATTCACTTCACGTTTCAAAACCTTCTACAGTTTTCGTCATGCCGTTCGTGTGTATATCTCCGTAGACAGAAATGAATAAGTATCATGTACCTTCACATCGTGCTTCTTGAACGTCGTTTTCTAGAATTCCTCTTTCTTCGGTCAAAATCGCACTCTTATTGTCTGTTTGCTCACGAGCGTTAATCTTTCCACAAACTATGTTTGTACTGAACCTCCACCGACTATACCAAATCATTAATTGCAACCTATGCGAAAATTTCGTCCATGCTGTAAGAAAAATGCACATCTTCCGAACTGGGACTGGTGTCTATGCACAAATATGTCACGCGTGGCACACGTCGTTCCATGTCATGTAAAGTGGGAGTAGATTCCTCAAGTTTTGGGTTCCATCTATTCACCTTTCCGACTTCTCCGTCGGTGAAATGCAGAGTCTGTGGTACCATTGATATCGAGAAGGCCCTTACAGAGGGAGTGAAGGCTTTTGAACCTGGCCTACTGGCTAAGGCTAACAGAGGAATCCTGTACGTGGATGAGGTGAATCTTCTGGATGACCACTTGGTGGATGTGCTCCTGGATTCTGCTGCTTCTGGCTGGAACACCGTGGAGAGAGAAGGAATTTCTATCTCGCATCCCGCACGTTTCATCCTCATCGGATCAGGAAATCCCGAGGAAGGAGAACTGAGACCCCAATTACTTGACAGGTTCGGTATGCACGCCCAGGTGCGTTCACTTTCTCTCACCTTCTCAATGTTTCAAGGTTTTATTCACCACTTTTGGCATGTGGCATTCGATTCGCCTTTTTGATGCATATGGTGACATCTGATTACCAGGTTAGTGTATCACAAAGCCCTCTCTGATTGAAAGCGTGTTTCTTATTTCCTGACTGCAGGTGAAAACCGTTAGGGATGCTGAGTTGAGGGTCAAGATTGTGGAGGAGAGAGGCACCTTTGATCAAGATCCTAAGTCGTTCAGGGAGTCTTACAAGGAGCCCCAAGAAAGTTTGAGGGAGCAAATATTTGCCGCCAGGGCTCGCCTGAAAAGTGTGAAAGTCCCGTACGAACTCCGCGTGAAGATTTCGCAAGTTTGTTCTGAGCTAGACGTCGATGGTCTGCGAGGAGATATTGTCACGACCAGAGCTGCCAAGGCTCTTGCAGCTTTGAGAAATCGGGACGAAGTGACCGCCAAGGATATTCTCACTGTCATTCCCAACTGTTTGAGGCACAGGCTTCGAAAGGACCCTCTCGAGTCAATCGACTCCGGTCTCCTGGTCGTAGAGAAGTTCAGTGAAGTGTTCGGCTTCTCCTCCAAAGTTGCCAGTTAGGTCCAGTGAACTGAAGTCAATTCAACGTGCACCAATTATTAGCAAAGCAGAAGTTTTGTTCTTTGGCTAGTTAGGGTCTAGCTGGTGTATACATAAATTCATAGTACTAGCTACTTATAAATTAACTTTTTTACAAACTTTTCCACCATGTGAGCACTGCCGGGATTAGTATCAACATGAGTTTCTGAAGTTGAGTTCAAACACAAGCTTGTCAGTAGCCCTCTGAGCGCGGTGTCGCTAACTCCATTCTGCATGTGCTGAGTACATCTCACGACTTGGTTAGAAGCTCCTGGCCTCGGTAGCCTCACGCTCACGTTTCTGTCTTCCTCAACGTCCTATATTGTGGCATACGAGATGAGACGTAAACGGCTTCAATTTGGGTGAACCTCATGGTCTTGGGTCCGCGCAATCTGCAACCACTGTAAAGAGCAATGAGATCATGGTTTCTCAATCCCATGAAGCGTCCCTGTGTCGGCCTGGCATTCTCTTGTATGTACATCATTGAAATTTGTGAAATACGAGAGGAAACATTTCCCATGGGTGGAAGTCACGTTGTGCCTCCAGTGTCTGGATTGTAAACCATTACCTATCGAAAACGATCAGGGTAGGGGGAAGTAAAGGAATGTGAAGGCAATGCATGCAGCCCCGTTGTTGAAGATTGCGGGCACCATAACCTCCTGGTTAGCCACAGGATTGGGGCATTATCTTCGTGCAGTGCATCTGTATCATGAGTGCTCCTCTTAAGCCATTGGAATCGTGCTAGTTCATTTCCCATGTTTCCGAGTAGATGAGAGGGGTGCATCCTGGCATGTGACGGTGGTTCTTATCTTTCATAGGTCACAGATTCCTGCTCTTGCCCTACATGCACATCTCTGTGCCGTATGAGTACAAATAGCGCTGTTGTGTTCCGGTCATGTATCTTGTATTTCAGGAACAAGCAGATTCAGAGAGGAGCAATCGTATATTAGACATGCACCTGGTACAGCTATCAAATTCAGTACACCGCTTATTCTCCTCATGTGGTGGAACTGTACCAACTGCATCATGCGTTGACTTAACCATGTAGACGATGCTGCGGCTTCTTCTGAGGTGGAAATACTCTCGAGTGCCCAAACAGTCCCAACTGTGCATGAGGTATGACGGTAGTGATAATCTGAGTCAGAAACTCTCGCATGACACTGAACCATGAGTGCGTAATGTCACGAGCTGTTCTGTTACACGACAATGACCGAAGAGATTGCATCTGTGTACGTATGATCGGATTGTTGAGGAAGTTAGAAATGGGGTCGAGGAAGGATAGGACGAATACTTCCAGTCATCCTTAGCTACGAAGACGTGAAGTCGCTGCAGCTCGTGGCCATGGATCTCCAAAAAGTATTCTACCATTGCGACAGGACTTCATGCAGCCAAGCTTCTCTGGTGACATGCCTACACATGCATCGAGCGTACCAAAACTAACGAAATGCCTGCCTTGCACAGGAACGTGTTTCGCGCTCTGATTCCATTGCCAGTATGAAAAACAGGAATGTGTCCGAGCTCACAGGTGGTTCCAGTTCACAGAGACGGCCTCTTGGGTGGATCTATGAAACAACTTTGTGGCAACCGCCACGATTCTTGTATAATATATCTAGAAATAGCCCGAATAGCCATGCGACGACTTCAGTTCACAGGTCAGTGCTGCATACAGTTCTTTAAAATTTCCAAGTCGGGCTGTTATTTGATGGTTGAATTAGATTGCAGGAAGTTGACACATGCTTAAGACCTTCCCGGAGTACAGATGTCGTTCCAGATGTGCAGATTGTGAACGCACGATCGAGTTTTTGACACGATGGACTCAGATACTGTTTTGCGAGGCACTGCTATCTGAGAAGGATAATGCCAGTTCTCAAGATTGAGGACAATAATGGGGAACAGTCACTATCTCGATGCAACAGGAGCCAGCCTCTGGTTGAAGTCAACGTACATGTCAAACCTCAATCCTTGGTTCGAGTGAGGGGCCTGGAGTCATGTTATCCATTTGGTTTCATCCCTGTAGGCTTGATGGCTTGATGGGGTCTTCCATCTTTTTTCTTGGTATCTTCCGTTTCGGTTCGAGTGAGGAATGTCGAGGTCTCCACGGCTTCCATTTTTCACAAAGTCCCCGACCATACAAAAAGGTATTTCAGATTTCACAATTCCATGCCTCGATAACCTCCAGCCACATGAAGGAGGACTCCAGACCAGGCGAAGGACTCTCTCCATGATCTTCCATATCTTCGCCATGCATTTGCAAATATAATATCTACACCTGGGCAGGACCAATGCATTGACCCCTAAAGTTTGGCCAAACCAGGTGTGTGCATAAATAACTTAGGAAATCACCAATAACGTCTACGCTGTCTACATGCAAAAACTTCTGAATAAAAACAAAACATGCCATGACAAATTGAAGGCAGAATTTCATTTCCTACTAAACGAGCCAAGCTATCGACAGCTGCTAAATTTGTTTATCATCACAAATTCCTCATATGTTTTCTGCAAATTGCAGCAGATGAAATGCGAAATGCAAACATCTTCCTCGGCATACATGCATCCAAGATTACAGTTGTTATCCCGAGTAAGGGTGATGATCTCACATACTTCTAACACTCACAATCTTCAGATATATTCGTCAGCTGTGAACCTGTAACCTCTTATATGTCTTACACACTCCTGTATTTCTACCGTTGAGGAGGTTAGACGAGTGGCATAAGCATACACATGCAACGAGACTTTTGAGAAGAACCCAACATTCGTGAACATTATGCATATTAATCTTCATTCTGATAGATTTCAAATGAAACAGCCATTGCCTTCAGGAACAGCCACATCACAATTCCTATACACATGCTAATCTAATCGAGTCGTTACGAAAATAGAGTACGATTGATCCTTTTCCTCAGCAGCGTTAATTTGGCAAGAAGTCACTTTCTGACCTCTACCTCATCTGTGTCCATCCCAGCTTGAGATACTTTCCATCTATTGTGTTACTAGTGAAGTTTGTCCCCCCTCGTCTGTTGGATAGATACTTTCCTGTTAAGACCTTGCAATAATGTGTGGTGTACAACTAATATAGCAAAAAAGATGGGAAAAAACGCAAAAGCAGATAAAAATAAATGGCTAACATGACCCGAGGTTTTAATGTAATCGGTATGAGATATATTCACTTCATACATCCAAATGATATAACTTTAGGATAGAGTAGCAAAATGACTTTTATGTGTACATCCCTATATACTTAGAGTCCTTGTAGATGACTATATATTCGTGAAAATGGATAATCATCCCCTATGAAAGTATGTTACAGACGTAAATTGAAATATTCAAAGTTTGTAACTATCATGACTTTAAAACATCAATCACGTCTTCATAAACCAAATACATGTCTATTATAAACCTAGATCAACGCGCACCAACCCTGGGTTAATGTAAGGTACCCACCACCACTGTGCCATAGCAATAGGGGTAGGTATACTCTACACTGCGATGAGAGAACAAGTAATGCGAGCACACAACTGCACCTAAAAGAAGTCCACATTCCAAAACTTTACAGTAATGATTGTTTGAAAGCTCTGGAGTTTTTTAATGTTCTGTAGGGGTAAATGCTATGGGAAGAGGTGAGTTTATCAGCTGGTTGACCTGGGAATTCTCTCACGAAATCACAGCCTAACTAACCATGTGAGAGAAAGGCATGCCAGTCTAAACAGACAAGGGAAAGGATGCCCCACAATGGGCCTACGTACGCAGTAAAGCGTCTCAGGTCCGTGACTTCAGCTGCAAAATTCCCAACACTCATGAAACGTATGGCCTGAGCATTGATTATCGGGGAATCAGATCACGCAATATCTGCCGTGCGGCTGCTATGGCTGCTAAGGCTCATCTCCAAGTAAAGACGGTGTCGCTGGGAACGCGTCTCTACAAAAGCCCGCAAAGCAAACTCCGTCCAGGGAGAAAAAATGTTCCGACGTACAGAAGAAATTCAGCAGAAATTTCATCGACTGCTCCTCGCTCTGTAACTCTGCGCGGTTTGTCGTAATCGACGGCCTTTTGGCTCTGGCAAGTGCGAAATTCGCAACCCTGCAAGTCGTTTCTGGCAACGACAGAATGCCTCATCAATGCAAAGCACCGTGTAACTGTGCGCTGAGGTGATCTGGTCCTCACGTCGAGCGACTGGCCGAGCAGCGCACTCCGCCCTGCACATGTGGGTGGCCCGGTGAAGGAGAACGATCCTTGACCTTAACCGAACCATGGCAGTTCAGTGCTGCACTTCACTGCCCTGTCCACTGCATTGCACTGCCTGTTGAGTGATGTCCACCCACGTCGAGTAATCCCTCGGCATCCGCACCAGTTTGCTGCAACCAGAGATTCGGTGACAAGTCAAACGAGCCACTCAGTTTCGAGCCAAGTGTACTGTACAGGGCTCCTTTGTGCAGGGGCCGATTCCAGCATGGAGACCTACAGAATTAAGAATCGGCAGGTATTTGAAGCCAAGAGGAGTAGGTACGTACGTCTGAGGAGTGCAATCTGGAGACACACACTTTCGTAGCTCTCTTTTCGAGCCTCTCTTTCTTATGGATCAGGAACATCTGCGAGAAATTGCATGCCCCAGCTCATGTTTCATGTATTTCCTCCCACCCGATCTCTCCTTTGACTCATGAACCCGACCATCATTCCCGCATGGCGGAGATGGGTTCGCATTGCCGTCTACGGAAAGCGCGCTGGGTGTTGGTGGGCGTGTGTCTAGCATGCAAATGAACAATGGACAGATCTTAGGACAAGGTTATCCATCCATCCCCGACTCTATCACAAACTCGCGCATTTTCCTCCGATTACTCCACGAATTAGAAATCTCGTGCATAGATTCCACTTTCCAAATCAGGAGTCTGTGTGTCACACCCAAGTATGTACCCAACTCGAACATGGAGTATGGTGTACCTCACTTTCCCAGACCACGAGAACTACTTTTGTTGTAGGCTCGCTCTGCTGAACGTCTGATAGGAAGACAAAACAAAAGAGACCCAAAACAGGTCACCAATCTCGAGCACTCATGGAGCTTCTTTGTGGCACTACTATGTCTTCTTTCTAGGGCCAAAGTGCTGTCGTTCAATGTTGCGTCGTTGGCGTTAGTGCACATCTCACCTACCTCGAAGGACTGGACTTCGATTATGAAATGGCACATGTATCATGTTGCGAAAGTTATGCCCACCCATGCCCCAGGGTACAATGTGGCCATCTGCTCTTCTTTCTGGTGTGCAAATTAAAAATCAAAATCCAGTCACGTGAACATTGTCCTTGACTTGGTGACACATCTTTTGCTTTACTGCAAACCCGCGAGAAGAGTAGATGATGTGACTGACTGGTCGTGCGCTGGGCTGGACGGAAGTTTCATCTTCGTTGAATTGCTGGCAAGGTGGTCATTCTCTTTTATCTTCGACTCTGTCACCGAAGCGTTCGTTCATGTTGATGCAATACAGCTCTTGGCCCTAGTTTTGTATTCAGACCGTGGATCCATAGACCATTTCCCTGTTCTGGACTCACACTCTCAATGGTCCACAGTGGTCGGTCTTTACTTCCAAATGTATTTGAGCGGATGTCTCTTTTTTACTGGACATCGGTGACAATGCACTCTTGTCTGTTCTAGACGGCGTCAGCCAAGAATCGAGTCGAGGGATTTTTAGCTTGTATGATCTAATTGCATTTGCCTTGACCAAGAAATAATAAAGTGGATGATGTGATTGACTGAGTTCGTTAAGTTTTCTCGTTCTCAATCTAAGTGAAATGGGAGGGGAGTTTCGGCATCGGTGCATCCCCATGCACTTTCCATCTTTTGATGAAGAGAGCAGAGTAGAATAATATTTCTAGGTACCGAAGATGGTGCACGTGGTGCAAGTATGGTGCACATGAAAGACAAGATCGAGCCCTTTTGTCACATGTCACATATCTCAAGGACCTCCAAAGAAGAGAACGCACAGCCCTTTGTTGGATTTGTGTACACTGACGCCTTACCATGCCACAAGAAGCCACTGCACGATGATGAGATGACGATGCGTTGCGCACGTCATCTCACTCATAGGGCGAATGAAACGAAGAGCGACGCGATATGTATAAGTCATGTTTGTATCAAAAGCGCACGAGAATCGCTATCAAAAGCGCAAAAGATTTGTTTTCTGCCGCACATCCTTCTTCTTCGAGGGGCAAAGGGTGATGTGGATAGGCCCTCAATTACTTCTCTGATCACCTTGGGAGATGCTCACGTAGTTCTCCATGACCCGCATGAGTCCCAAACCATGCGGGACCAAGCAAGAGCCTTGAGGAGGCGAGCCACCTTTGTGAATCGAAGGCCCCCCAGCAATATGCTACGCAGTCCTTGCATGATGAGCAAGAATGATCAAATAGCCCACAACTCGGCTGTCGAGAGCTGCGCTGATTGTAAACAGCTACGGACCACCAACACTAGCTCGGTACTCGAATGGCTCGAGACGCTCATGTGACTGAACTTTTCATGTTGAAGGAAAAGCAAAGACTGATTGATGGTAAGAGTAAGAGATAAGTCGAAACAAACAAATAAACAAATAAAAATATATTAACGTATGTATCAATTATTGTCGACATTTGACATCGTGGTTCCTCGGCAGGACATTCACTCTGTACACGCAGAGTGGCAGGAAGATGTTCCGTATGTTCCTACAGTCACCGTAGCTCAGATCGAGGTCCTGGGGTTTGATGATGAATCGAGGTTGCCAATTTCGCCCACTTGAGCTTGTGACCGGAGCAGGGATCCTTCACCATTCACTGTATGTCTAAAACTTGGTAGGGACATATCGATCACTATCTGGCCACGATGTTTCGTGTCGTGCTCAAGAACCTGCAGATCGAAGTAAGAAGGAAGAGCTCAATCTGGCTCAATCAGGCCCTGGAAGATTCAAGTGGATAGAGATGTTCGGAGGCGGTTCAGATGTGGACTGGCAGCTGAAGTTGAGCTCCTCCACACGGCACGGGAGAAAGGGAGACCGGAAGGAGCAAGTCAAGCCCTTGACCGGTCTACATCGTACGAGCGCACGGCCGGGTTGTTGAACGTGGTACGGCATCGGTGGAAGCTGCGAGATGCGTAGTTGACTGCCTGCTGACCGCTGCCGTGGAGTCGAGTCGGTTGAGATAACGATCCGTTGACGCTGAGAGAGCGAGCGTTCATATGGTTCAGCATACGCACAAAATTGCGGCCTGGGCATGCGGAATCTTGCAGATGCCGCGACGAGCATCCCTTCCTGGCAACGGTCCAATCGATGGCTCCCTCGGAGGAGGAGGAGGAGGAGGGAGTGTCGCTCTCGAGCTCGCGCTTGTTTGTTGCTGTCGCCCGCGAAGAATCGGGGAGGCTTATTTCGGGAGGCGGAGACCGGCTTCTCGGTGTCTCTTCGGGTTGTCGCGGGGGAGGTTGCAGGTTCCTCTTGTCTGACGTCGGCTCTCTCCACTTGTGGTGACCGGTGACGTCGAGGGCCCGAGGCTGGCCCCACCGGGAAAAAGCACGTGTCATAAAGCCTACCCTCGGAGTGTGTTCGAGAAAGAACCAGTTTCATGGTAACACTCACTCAGTCACCCAGTCGGTCCTTCATGCTCTCCCACCACGGTTCGTCGCAACCTCCTGTACTGGACGCGTGCCTCAACTACGACGCGACCGGGGTTTCGAACTAATCGTAACCTCGACTGCGATTAACTTGGTCGAATGGATCGGATCGGATCTGTCCCATCCAACGGCCGAAATCCTCACGGGACCACCCCGAGAACGACGGGGAAACGGAAAGTGGAGTCGGTTGAGAAGGATCTCAGAACGAACTCGCAACTACTGTGATGGATGGACAGTGACTGCGAGGTCGGAAGGTTTGCCGAAGGCACCACCACGACCACGCCCGCACCCCCGAGGCCCTTCGGTGGGGGACCTGACACGGCCCAAAAGCAAGGTACACCTCTACCCCCACCGATCTGCACTATCCGGAAATCCCCCGGATCGAGCGAGCAGGCGGGCAGTGGGGAACAGTCGGTCGCGGTGGGGCGTAGAAGCCGTCGAACCAGACGCGGCATCGGCAATGGAGAAAAGCTGCAGCGTCGAAATGGATGTGACCGGAGTCGCGGCCGGGAAGTGAGCGCCGCGCGCAGAGCTGGAAAGATAAGGTGGCATAGTACCACGTAGAGTGCGGAGGAGGTACTGTGGTGTGGTGCAGGCGGTTGCGGTGGAAAGTTTGCACTCAACTGCCAGTTGCGCTGGGGGCTCGCCGGAATGCAATCCTTGAAGAATGAAAGAGGCGGGAGTGCTATATTTGGCTGCGGCGGTGACGTGGAGTGACGCACGGCCGGAAATGAGCTGGAAGACGCTCCCTGTCAGGACTGTCAGTATCAGCGATGGAAGAGGAGGGGAGCGAGTTCGAGGGAGCGCGAGGCAGCGCAAAGCCCAAATGCCCCCGAGGCTCGCGTCGACCGCCTCGCTCCATCATCGACCGCTGCCTCCCGTGCGTGCGTACGGTGGGAGAGCTCCGTGTGGGGAGGCAGAGGCGGATGCGCCCGACGATCCATGGAGGTGCCACGAGAGCTGAGGAGAACTCCGCCTCCGGAGGCAGGCAGGCAGGCAGCGAGGGAGGTTTAAGTGATTGAGTGAGTGGGAGTGAGTGAGTGTCTGCCTGCCTGCGAATGTACTTCCGTGGTGGCGGGTTTACGTGTCGGGGACCAGAGATGCGGTCGTTCAGGTTGGATTCGTGCGTGTTTGATCTTTGAGTTTATTGGTTTCTCGAATATTTCAGTATTCCAATGACCCTTGTCTCGTCCTGTCGAGAATAAATTCATCGGGCTTCGGCAGCTCGTCCGCAAAACGAGTGCTGGCCTGACGGCTCGGACACTCACTTTTCTCTTCTCTTCTATTTTCTTCACTTTTTGTGCGATGTTCTAGTTTCTCAGACTCGCTCGTTCCACTGTCACCCACGCACGGATTGGCTACCCTCACGAAGAATTTGCCACTAGCATCCACATCGTGTCGTCTAGTGATACCTCTTACGAGGTCCCCTTCGACTCTGAGAAGCCACATTGCTGTATATAAATGCTGGAGTCGGGTTCCGATGACTGACTTGTGCATTTGCTTTCGATCTGTGTAGGCCGGATTCCCTCCATTGTGAAGGGTTATCGGGTGTTCAGCTGGGCATCACTCCAGTCAGCTGAGGTTAGGTAGTAATCATTAGCTTTGACGCATCCTGGAGGACGTCGCTGAAGGGGCAAGCTCAACCCTTTCAATCGATTTTTGTTAGCTTGCTGACAGGTGCGCGAAATGAAGCGAAGGCGCATCTGGTCTTTCGTGTGGTCTCGAGAGAAGGGATCGGTGGCAACCAGAAATTAGGCGATGAATTCCCTCCCAGTCGTGGAATCACACGAGCTGTCGGGGATGGAGAGCGGGTGAAACTTTAGTGTAGGTGCTTCACTCCTTAGAATTAGAGCAGCTTGGCGAGACGGTGCTGCACCAGGAATCGGTGTGGGGAAAATGGAGTACGAGAAGGGTCTGCTGACGGACAGGGCGGTGAGGCTCAGGGACTCGTCGGCGGTGGAAGAGAAGAGGTACACGAAGACCTTGAAGAGCGTGAGGAGGAGCATAAAAAACGTCCGGAGCATGGGCCCTGCAGGGCCCTGCAGCATTCCGATCATCCTGTCGTGCATGATCCTGGGCGCTATCCTCGTGCTGGACTTGAATCAGTACGTTCTGGGCGGCTTCAACTGCAAATTGAGCATTTTCAACTTCCAAATCTTCTACCCGTCCAGTTCCAAAGCTCTGCAGGTACCGGACCTGCTGTCCGAGCGACCTCGTCACTACAACAACAGGACGGCCCAAGAGTGGAAGAAGAAGCTCTTCGACGACAACGACGAGGACGGGGAAGGCGACGGGGACGGGGACGGCGTCTCCAGCCAAGGTTTGGCGACGTTGCTCGATGTGCCGGCATCGAACAGGACCAACGCGGTGGGAACGCAGTTCTTCGACCAGGCAGGCCGTCGAGACGGCGCCAGCATTGTGCAATCGAGCTCGGACCTTGGCGCCAACGACACCGCTGCTGCGAATTTCGCCGACCGCAGTGCATACAATTACGCAGACGATGCGCCTCTGGGCAAGCCCTATGGCATGAACCAGCAATTAGCGCAGGCCGGGACGCAGCTGCTGCTCAGTCAGGAATCGAGCGAGTCCTCCACCCTCGAGCAAGAATCCGGATCGCGCCTGCCACCCCCGGGGCCGACTGGCGATTCGAGCTCGCTGGAGGCCAGCAGCGGAGCCGGCGTCACGACTAGCGACGTCGCCGACGTCGAGGAGACCGATTCCGGCGCGCTTTTTCTGGAGGAATCCGTCGCAGCGACTCGGAGTCCTCCGTCGGAGTGCGACATCTTCTACGGGCACTGGGTGTACGACGAGACGTATCCTCTGTACGCGCCGAGCAGCTGCCCCTTCGTCGACGAGGGCTTCAGCTGCGCCAACAATGGGCGGCCCGACACGGACTACTTGAAGTGGCGCTGGCAGCCCTACGACTGCGACATGCCAAGGTCGGTGCCCCGTCGTGTTTGAGGCCGCGACGGATTGATTCATGAACATCGAGACTGACTTGACCTGATCGGTCGTGGTGCTGATGTCAATTGTGTGGGCTTGTGTTGCGACGCGCAGATTCAACGGCACGGACATGCTGGAGCGCCTGAGGAACAAGCGCATGACGTTCGTGGGCGACTCGCTGGGGCGCAACCAATGGGAGAGCATGCTGTGCATGCTGCACCAGGCGGCGCCGAACAAGAGCCGCGTCTTCGAGGTGAACGGCGAGCTCATCTCCAAGCACCAGAGCTATCTGGCCGTTCGGTACTCGGACTTCAACGCGACGGTCGAGTTCCACCGCGCGCCGTTTCTCGTGCACCAGGGTCACCGCCCCGCTGACGCCCCGCCGTACGTGAAGACCACGCTCCACGTCGACCGGATCGACAGCAGCGCGAAGAAATGGAACCGCGGCCATCTGCTCGTCTTCAACACCGGCCACTGGTGGACTTACGCCAAGACCTTGCGCGGGTAAGCTTGCTTGCGCCCCCGACTGGTCGCGATCGCCGACTGCGCCGTCGCGAAGTCGCTTACTAACCTCGGATTCTGCTTCTCCTGCACAGGCACTGCTACTTCGCCAAGGACGGCAAAGTGGTGAACATGGAGATTCTGGAGGCGTTCGAAGAGGGCATGAAAACGTGGGGCTCGTTCCTCGACCACAACATCAATCCCAAAACGACTCGCGTCTTCTTCCGCAGCTTCTCTCCCACCCACTTCCGGTGAGTCGAGAGTGGAATTGATCTGAATTGTGGAATGATTCTGAATTCGTTGCGTTCGTTGAATTGGGGATGGCTGACGAGTGAATGGGTTTTTCGACAGGGGAGGGCAGTGGAACACGGGAGGACAGTGCAACGTGGAGACGACGCCGTACACGAATCGCACGAGGCTCGACATCTACCACCCTCCCACGGAGAAGGTCCGGATCGCCGAGGACGTGATCAGCCGAATGAAGCTGCCGGTCACTCTTCTGAACGCAACGGAGCTCACAGACTATCGGCGCGATGGCCATCCGTCCAAGTGGACTCAGACGGCCGGGACGTATGGAACCGCCGTGAATGGGTCCCGGTACCAGGATTGCAGCCATTGGTGTCTGCCAGGCGTTCCAGACACTTGGAACGAGCTTGTCTACGCATCCCTGCTCATGCATCCCGACCCACGCTACGGTGAGAAGTCGAGTCTGGTCCGGTGACTTCTGCTGTATATTGTGCGCGAGATTCATGCCGGTGATGTATTCGGCCTTTCAGCTCGTATTGATTTGTCCGCGGTTTTCAGATCTATCAGCGAGGTCGCACGGATCCACGAGGCAGCACAAGAAAAGGACTGTTAGGCACGTAATACAGAAGGGCCATTCCCACTCCAAACCGAAGCTGAGGGATGGAGCTTAGAGCAGATTGTGGAGACGCCCCGAGTGAGGTCAGCCCTTTGTACAAGTAGCCCAGTATGACCCACTCATTAATCAAATGTTATTTGAATCACACCATCTCAGAGCAGGCAGTACAGTACAGTTCACGGTCCTGCAACAGGCGAGGAGTCATTTACAGCACTCGGCAAAGTTAAATCCAAGCACTCCAGTACGGACCACCCTCTTTATGGAAGCCTGCCTGCCTCCCTCCCTCCGTCACCCCTCCCGCTCTTGTTTTTGTTTCAGCGGGAGGCGGGACTCCTATACAGACGGAAGATTGGGTTTTTCCTACGAACTTCCTCTGATGTATCATTTTGAAGGAGATCTTCATCTTCAAAATCCCATAGAATTTTATTGAACTGTGGCAGAGGCAGGCCGAAAGGTACAGTAAGAAATTTTGTAGGATAGCTGGCCTGCCTCCCTCCCACCTCGACCTCCGTAGCAAAATAAACGCGTCCTGAAGTCGGGCATGTGCTCTCCCTAATGAAGTACGTGTGTAACTCTACCCGGACACCAGGAGTCGGATCGGCATCTACGATTAAATAGATTTCGGATTTGGACTGTCCGTTCCGAAGGAGATTTTCACATTTCCGTGTCCAAATCGGAGAGTTACGACTTGTTGGATTTTATCCATTTAAACTGTATATTCAAGGTGGTTTAAACACCAGATCCCTATGATATAAGAACCCCTTGTTTGTCTCGAATTTGCTTGGGAGTTGGAATGTCCTAACCATCTGTCATGAGCTCCGGTTGGATTATCTGTCGTGCATTTGACCTTTGTTCCTCATCTTGGTATAGGAGAGTAAAGATCTGAATGACTTTTAGGACTAGATGAGTTTCGAGAAAAGAAGCTGTGCATCTATGGGAAGAGTGTTCCGGCTAGTGCACTACAGGATGGAGCGCACTTCTGACCATTGTTTAATTTAGAGTAGAAGCTACCCTGATATGCGTATGGAGGTGCTTGGTGGTTCATGTTGTCGATGCCTAAGACCAGTACTAATGAAGGTCTCAGGAAGTAATATCTAGGATGATACGAGGCAGCTGCGTCCGATTCCGATTGTATTTTGTCCCATTGTTGTTTCTCTTGCCGTACAATTCTAACACTTGAGTTGTGCCGTCGGTGCATACAAGGCAAAGACTTGAAACTTTACGTATGGATTTTTGACTTCCGGTGTACACGTCGTCATCTTCTTTCACACGTTTTAGTCGACAAGTGAAATGTGCTGTACTGGTCTAAGTTTTCTGCTTTTTCTTCGCTCAAGATTGTTTCGAGTCTAATTTGCAGTTGCAGTCCAACGATACTCTCTCAGATCCCTTGGATTTTGCTTTCAATTTACTTTTCTGGTGAATAATTTCCAGAGGTAGACAATGTTGGGCAATACTCGAAATAGGTCCAGGTGACATCCTTCGTTTCCTCCCAGACTGTATTTAGCTTCGAGTTGTCCTGAGCACCTGCGTGGTGCCAAATACTATGCCCCTCGATGTCCGATGATGAAGCAGTGAGTTCATGTTTTTTCATTCAACTTCTGTTTATGGCCAACGGAGGTCATTCTTGCATCGGACTGTTTCTCGGGCAAGTTTTCCAAACATTGTCAATTTGACAACCGCTCTGCTCCGCCTTCTATAGTCCACCGCTCTCGCGCTTGTCGTCTTCTTCCATTTACGCATTTACGCATAAATATAATTCCATAATATATTTACCATTACGGCTATTTCAAAATCGGGTTTTCTATTTCTATCATTAGCTAGTATTTCTTGCCATCTTGTGTATATTGAAGTCAAGTTTTAACCAAATTTGAGTCGCTTCGGTTTCTTGCATGCTACGATACCTGTTGTAACCTGCATCAAGTCTCTGAACTGTAATTTACGGAAATCATAGTTCTAATTCTTCGGAGAAGAAATCTGCCAAGCTCTCGCAATTGTTGCGACACACCGTGATGTGACAAGTTAGCCAGCAGACAGATGCGGGAGCATTTACTTGTGTAGTTGTAAACAGTCCCACACATTCAACGCAAATAGCCACACTCCTGATTGTGAGGCTAAATCCTCTTAATCCTTGTGAGTCACGCCAGGCCTGAGGTGAGCGTCAATGATCCTGTGCCATCTCAAGGGTCAGACAAGAGACGCAAGGCAATGTGATATAGGGCGCCAATAACACCAATGTCCAATTTTTTTCTCTCAAGCATAAGGTGAGTACTCTGAGAATCAAAAATAGGATTTTATCTGTTTGTAGCAATGTGCTGAATTTATGTTTGGTATGACAGATTGTGCGCAAGTAGAATCATTCCCCTAACCATGCTTGCGTCATCTCATTTAAGTTGTCATAGAGTCTATCATTGGCAAGGGGCAATCATCCGTTCAATTTTGATAGGAACGTTTCCACACGGAAATCTCTTCATAAAATTGAACAAAATAAGAATGTGTGGAGTCATGAATGAGAAAAGTACACATTCTAAAACACGAGAAGGGTAATATTCGCGGTCAAAATCCCCATTTGAAGCGTGAAGCTTATATGCTTCTTATTAGGCTAGGATGTATGTTTTCGAACCGCCTCATTTACAAACAGTTCCCTTTGGGCGGGAAAGATATCATTCATTAACTTCTCATCATAAAGTCAACCGTCAATTCCAACTCATGCGAAGTACATGACATGATTCTTAAGTACTGTGTGAACGAGCGAAAATTATTAAAATCTTCGAATTTAGTGTGCGGAAGAAATTTCAAACTGGAATAATATTTCGAAGCATATTTTTGAAAAATATTCTACATAAATTAGAATTATATGTCAATGGTATGGATAATTTGAAATATATTTTAAAGAAATCATCTAAATAAAAAGATTTGAACCTTTGATATACATTAGAAATCATATACTATCCATTGCCTCACTGATTGTTGAGTTCTTTTCTTCTTGTCACTGTAAATTGTAAAATAAATATATTATTAAATTTCAAATATTAAATTAGAGGATTCAAAGTTTGTAATTTTCTAAAAATTATTTGGCCAGATGTACATGTGATATAAAAATATGTTGTAGATAAACTGTAACATCAAATTAGACACACATTTATTCTATGACTCATGCTATTATTCTTTCATCTATTAAAAATGTAATGCAACGTAAGTTTTCTTTCATAAATACTACATTGATTCACAAAACTGTTAAATGTAAAACTATTATGATTGATTGAAAATTTAAATAACAAGATGGCAAAGATGTATTTAAAGATTTCACTTTCTGAAGATTGGAGTGAGATGCATGCATTCACAATGCTAGGATGGTTTAAGAACGGTCGGAAGAAAACAATTTTGTCTGATGTGGCCATCAGACAAAATTGTTTTCCACAAAAATGTTGACCGTTTTTGTAGACGAATTGACAACCTGAATCTTTACCGTTCTCAGAATTGCTCGATTTCACAATCAACAAATCTTGGATACGAGAGTTCGATGAGACTGATGTTCACACATAAGCGAGTGCATTTGCAGTTTTCAGCCCCAAGTGAAGTTTCAAGCCCCCAGTTTTCAGTCCAAGTGAAATTCATGTGTTTTGGCTCCGCGAGGGAGTGAGCCTTGTAGAACCAACTCTTGCATAAGTAGCCCCCCATTCAGTGCTATGGATCCTACCCAGGGAGAGCGTTATCCAGGTCTGCACTCTCAGCGAATCAGGACTGGATCAGATCCACCAAGTGTCTGCTTCAAAGAAGGACACATACGCCTGTTTCATCACGCACATGTGAAACCCTCCACGGTGGAGGGTTTCACAATAATACAGGTGGAGGCTCCACCTGTATTATGATGGGATATGGCTCCAAATCATCCATCAGTTGCAACAAAGCATATATTTCATCGAGAGGACGTTCTTCACGATCAAACACAGTACTACTGAAGCAAAGTTTAGAGCTGAGATGCTCATCACAGCTTGTTCTATGTGGGCTTTCTCACTAGATTATTGTTCCCATGCATTTGCATAATTTATCGTCAATTGGTAGTTCAGCGAGAAGATAGCTAGTGATGCATTATCTTCACTCCGATGTTAGAAACCATCATCTCCATTCGTACAGTATTAACTATAGTGAAGATGAGATTTCGCAGAAAAGGATTATTTATAGTATAGCCCCGCAGTTACCTTGGTAGCGGTTATTTATCATATAATTTATGCTAATTATATCTCAGCATATAAAAATGATAGATATATGATTGATAAGAGTGAAACAAAAATGATTTCGATATACACCGCCAACTGATTTTTCTTTTTATGTCGATAAGAGTATGTCTACCATATTTGCATATGAGATGAGATATGAAATCGATAAGAAACAATCGAAAAATAAAGAAGTAATACTCCAACGTTAATCAGGTGTTGACTGCAACTAAAATGCAGATTAAATGATTTATATAAACTGAAAGATAACTAAACTCTCCCGCTATTTATTATCTAATATAGTGTAAATGAAACGGAAATATTTGTATGTAAGGCATGGAATTGATATGAATTGTGTTGCCAAGCAAGCGGTATGCGAGTACTTTCGACATGGAGGGAAACTGTCAGGAGGACGTGGCACGAGCCGTGGAGGGGCTGGTTATTTGGCTGATCTGGGCATGAGCCACGTAGACGTCGCCGCCGGCGAGAACCGGCAAGCAGGCCCATCCGACCGGTCGCCGGCGCAATCTATCCGAGCACCAGTGTGTGCAGGCGTGTGGCTGAGAGGAGGATAGACAGTGCACTCTCCTTCGTGAATGAGTCGAGAGCTGAGCTGAGCCGAGACTAGGCGAGCCCGAGTGTAGCATGTTGGCCCAGAATTGACAGTCGTGAGGATCGAGGCGCATCGAAAAGAAAGTTTCGAACCCGTTTGTGTTGGGGAGTTCATTAGACGGGATTGTGGTCGGGCATTCAGCGAAAATGTATGCGCTCGGGGTTCAAGCGGGCCCTGCATTGTCCTTTGCCGCTTCTTGTGCCAATTCTCTGTCACCTCGCGATTCTACTGTGAACAAGGTACTTCTGGCGAATGTATTTTCTGCCCTCTTGCCTCTGCCTTTTCGGCCTCATTGATGCAAGTGTAATTGATGGCCATATCACGAAGGTTGGCTCAGAGCGATCTGTCGAATTTTGCAGCTGCCAAAAATATGCAAACTGGCCAGCCGACCGTGTACAGCTAGGGCGAGCTCATCAGTCAGCACTGAAGCTGGTAAGCCATCGATTCTTCGTGCTTTGATGTTTCCTTTTGTGTGGAAATTTTCGTGATTTCTCTCCATTGGGCCTATCACTGCGTTCGGCGGAGCCATATCTTGCAACGTATATGCCAAGTACATGTAAATTGATGTTCTGCTTTAGAATAGCCTGAAGTAACATATGAAATTTGCGGCGAGAAAATGGTGAACACTAAAAGAAACAATAAATGGTGAACCAGTGGCTGTTACTGTTCGACAACCACAACATTTCCTTATATCGCGAATTTGCCTGCTAGAAACATAAAACTTTTCTGGAGAACATCTTGGCGTCTCATCAATTGGCGTAGCACCCCTTCAGATAAAAAATGATGATGAGAGAAATCATGAGTGGCAATCTGCGTACAACGATTATCATCATTGATAGGAGTACAGTATCACTGAAGCTGTTCAAAAGCTCTCATCGAATTGACCACTGTTTGAAGTGGACGGTTTGATTAATTAATCCAACTTCCCCTCCTTTTTACATGATCTTGAATGCCGTTGTTCATGCCACAGTCCTCGTAGCTTCTGTTGTACAGTGCCAAAATGCCTCTCCAGTACTACTATTCTTTCGCATCATGTTAGTTCTAAGCTTTTTATGTGAACGAAGGTTGATTGTTTATGGGAGCTTGTCTGATTTTTCATGTCACCCTACCCATGATTTTTTAGTCTCCAGTCCATTGCCGGCCTCAGAGATTGCTTAATCCAATTTCTATCTTGGTGTTTTTTGCACTCTGCTTCTGTATCGAACATCCTTAGGATCTGTATACTTCGTGTATCTTTATATTTAATCGGATGTAATCCTCGTGTAATCATCGTGTCAGCATTGTCAGGGGCCAATAATCTTGGAAATGATTACATCGAATTTGGAAAGTGCACGGTATGCTGGTTATCTTAGTGTAACATCTCACAACGTTGCATAAAAAAATTCTGAAAAGTATGCCGCATTTCTTCACCTTGCTGGCTTTATTTCAAATCAACACGAAGGATCAGTTTTAAATCTCCAGTATCATTGAGAAATAGAAGCTGTGCAGCTGCAGGTGAATGTTTTGCACTCCTGGTATTCACTAGGTCTGCGTTTTTCACTTCAACTGACGAAGATTTGGAAAATGATTTTGTCAGCTCTCTGTCTAACGATCTTAAAGTAGAGCCGTTTTCCAAGTGAACCGTAGACAGTTCATTAATTTGTGAGCGCGTCTAGTTGAGGTGGTATGTCTCTGAAAAATTGTGTAACGGATCGAAACTATGTTCTCATAACAACGATTCTCATTTAATTTCTGGCAAATTCATTGCAATCAGGAGTAATGCCTAGAATACATGCGTTTCGTTTCAATTGAGAATAGTTTGAACGCAGAATATGATGCTCTGCTCTATGTTTCACTTTCCAGATAGTTCAGTTGGTCGCAGGGAAGCATTAGCTGGGGTCGCAGCCCTAGTTACTGGTGTGTTAAGCAGCAACAACTCTGCACTAGCTGCAAGTAAGCCAGTCATATATGATCTTCACACCTCGCAAAAAGTTTCTTCTTTGATTGGTGTTCACATGACGATCGGACTGATATCAATAGGTTATTTTAATCAAATATTTGACCATGGGTATTGTTTTTGTTTCTGCAGAAGCACCGAAGGGCTATGCAGCAATCTTGGATAATGCTGATGGATACGCCTTCTTCTACCCTTTCGGTTGGCAGGTCCGTTACCCTTTACCCCAATAGCAGTTTTCTTACTTCTTTACGAGTTATTGTTTTAAACAGTAGGCTTGCTCTCTAGACTGAAAGTGCAGCTTCCCAAGCAGGCTGCAGTACACCTGCTTTGGCTCTTTCCTCTTTCAAATTGATCGTACAATACCTGCATGGGTCTCGAGATAAGCTAGATGGGTGGAGATCCCTTCCAATGTGACAGGTGTATAAAGTAGTTTCATTTGACCTTATAGCGTCTAGCGCCACATCGTTGATTTGTGCCTGTCTCTGAGTACGACACTTACGTAAACATGTCAAGTGGGCTCCAAAGATTTCTATTTTATTCCCCTATGCATTGATCTGTTATATATGGCCAAGATGTTGCATTCGGATAAACAGTAGAAGTCATAAGTCGTTTTCACTGTAAGTTTTAGAGATCACAAGAAGAGAACATGGCATCGAAGGTCTTCTATTACTAGCTGAGAGTGAAAGTTGACTTTCTTGCCAGGAAGTTGCGGTCAAGGGGCAGGATGTTGCGTTGAAAGACGTGATCGAACCTCTCGAGAGTGTGAGCGTGAGTATTATAAAGACTGATAAGACAAGCTTGCAGGAGCTTGGATCACCTGAAGAGGTAATCTCACTTGTGCACATTTTTAATCGTCGAGGTTTCTTCTTCTTGTCGATGTATGTTGCATTTTCATTTCCATGAAGGTAGATTTGAGTGCACGTACACGTAAACAAAAGCTCGTTTTATCATTTGGTCCAAGCTATACAGCAGAACAACTCGGGAATGTCTAGCCCAATCTGGGAAAGACTTCGAGTTTCATGCATTTGATGCTAGTAAAGTTGGCCCGTGTAGGTGGCGAAAGCTCTAGTCGAGAAGGTTTTGTCCTCACCAACTCAGAAGGTCAACCTCGTTAGCGCAAAGGAGGTATTTAACAACAGCACATACAACATGCCGTGGGTTCAAGCTTCGAAAACTAAAGAGTGCTTAAAACATTGCTGAGGGCTAATCGAACTCGAGTTTACAATGTGAAATTCCTGTTGAATTGCTTACGGCCGGGCCTCCGAGTGGTTCACAGCATTTCATGAATAGGAAGATACTCGTCATCAAATTCTCCTGTTATCATGGACTGATTCTAATCTGACCAATATATCGAGATGTTCATGCAAATGTAGGTTTTGCCTCTGTGCTTACTCATTTCTCGGCAAAATCAGTGAAAATTCCGTTTCTGCAAAAGAGTTGATCATCAGTTATGTTGTTTTGTACAGAAAACTGAGAACGACAGAACGTATTACCAATTTGAATTTGTTGCCAAAGCCAAGAACTTCACAAGACACGCGCTGGGCGCAGTCGCCATAAAAGACGGTGAGCGTTACCGATTTTCATTTTGGCCAGTAGCGAAGTGTGAAATTCCTGTTGGGGCCAGCAGTCAGTCTTGTTACCAACTTTGGCAGTTTGCAGCAGATGTTGGAACGTCGAAAACATTCTTCAGATGTCTCGAAGGTTTTCAAGTATTTGCATTTGAGTTTGGCACTGACTGGGGTCTGTTGGGAATTCTTTCTTCTGGCCAGGCAAGTTCTACACCTTAACTACAGGCGCCAACGAAAGACGGTGGAGCAAAATGGAGGACAAGCTGCGCTTGGTGGTGGACTCCTTCACGACGTTGTAAATCGAAAGTGCTACCAACAAAGCATGACCATTGTAATTTCGACCCGACTCCAAGTGCGCCTCAGTTCTGGAGATTGTATCATTGGAAAATTTTCTTCAGTTTTACTCCGGACAAGTAACGAGAAAGAACGGCTCGCCTCGCCTGTATTTTTAATCTCTAGGGTTCAAGCTCGTCCCTCCAAAATGACAAGCTGACCTTGTCTCGTCGGCAAGAGAGCAGAAGCTAGTCTTACAGTAACCTGGTCAGCTCTCTTATGATGTGAGAGGTCAGCCCGCCCGGTTTTCTCCCTGCGGCCTCCAGGAGATGCCAGTCTGGTTGACCCAGGGCATAGGGAACAAAGTCTTCCGAAATTTTGGTGTTCCTATCTTTTCTGTTCGGTCTGTGGGTTGACTATTCAAGTCCAAGTGGTTGTGAATGTCTTTGGAAACGATGCGCGGAATTTTCGTCTTCTCTACTTAGAAATGAAGTATCCGGATGTGCATTGTCCATCACTGGAAGGTGAATTTGATCACTTCGATGCACATGAAACCAACCGCAGAAATGTGGAGGTGTGGGTGGGGTTTCCATACTGCGACAGTAAGTATGGAAAATGCAGTGAAAATTTTGTTTTACTCGCCCACCTGCACGACCCTAAACATTCCCAACCCTCCTCCCCCGCTTCCTGAAGGAGGAACTCAGGATCCTCCATGGGAAACTCTACCATCACATTTCCACAGGGAACCGGTGCCTTCCAGCGGCCGGAGCCAAGGCCGTGAGGCGGTCAGAGCTTAGTACAGAACATAGGCGAAATCATGTAAAGGGAAGGCGTGGCTCTTTGCAAGTCCTTGTCACCAAATCATCTGGATTGCAATCGCAATCGAAATCTCACTCTACAGCACAATTGTACAAACCGAGAAACATTGTAGCGAAATCATGAGTTATCCCACATTAATGGAGAGAGAAACGATGAGCCCTCGTTGTCGGGAAGCATACATTTAATGTAACGTCAGCTCCTCAGATGTGACAGGGAGTGACACATTATCAGTGACAATTTATCACTCGCACTCGCACTGACAATCCATCCCGAGCACCGTCGACATATAAATCAGCTCGAGCCAGATGAAGTCACCAGCACTCACTCCTCGTGGGAGAAGTCTGGACTTCAAAGTCAAACTATCATGGAGATTACTACTGTATGGCGTTAAACTACCAATAAGCTATCAAACGCCAAGCCCTGGAAGTTGAAACCGTGGGGTTCATAGTTACGCCAACGACTTTACTTGTTTTATGTGGATCAGTAGAGCTCCAATTCGGCTCCATAGCTGAAAACGTCACAGAAGAATCATTTGATGGTAAAACAGCTCGCCGTTGCAACAGAGTGATCTGAGACAAAGTGCGGCCAGTCTGGTTCATGGTGGGTGTAGTTAAGGATCTGAAAGTCATACAACTTACTAGTGAGTTGTATTTTTTTAAGTGGTATGGAATTGGAGTTCTTTAGCTTTTGTGGTTCACATCAAGAGCAGCAGCATATGATATTGTGCGCAACACCGTCTTCAGAGGCGGATGAGTTGTGTGTACTCATCCGTTGGGTAGGCAGGTTGACCTGGTCCCTTCAAATCGACTTAAAAAACACTGTCTGCCGTAATTCCTCCGACACCTCCATGCATACGGATCTGTGTTTTCGCCCAAACGTCGGACTGCAATCATGAGCAACATCTAAGTTCTCTAGTGCTGGCGCCGACCGTGCGTAAATGTTAAATGTTTATTTCTCTTGTGCAGGCCCGTAGAGTCAAAGGTTGTGTGTTGAAATGTGCATGTTGTGTTGTGTTCAACGACCATCTTCATGGACCAGATGTCCATGAGAAGTCGATCTTCAGTTGCCGACAGTAGAGAGCTGATCGTAAATTTGTCCACTTTTTTAAACCTCACGATGGAAGACAGCGAAGATTCCGCCTGCCCAGAGAAGAAGGTCTGTCATAAAATGGCGTCCGACACCTTCAGGCCTTCCGTTTGGTAGCCAGAGAACTCCTCGCTATCATACCAACAATCCTACTTCCAACTTCACCGGAGACCTGTCGGTTGTGATGTCCTGAAAGATTTCAGACATATGAAACGCGCAGCGGATGTTCTGTCTCGTGCATATTTCAGAAATTCGTCCAAATCCCGGTTGAATGTTAAGCACCTGCAATCACAATTTCTCCGGCGCCAGCTTCAGAACACCGCGATGTGCAGATGTCGAGAGCAATTTTAGGCGAAATCCCCCGCCCTCATTCTAATTTGCACAAAAACAATTTCACCTCAGAATCAAGGAGTTCCAAGCTTTCGGGGCGACCCACGAACACGAGAAGGGCCAAGGCATTCGACATCGCCCGACCACAAGGTCGCACCGTCGGACGGGAAGTCACCGGGAAATGGCCCGCTGGTCCCACCGGCCCCACCGGCACCGGACTTCTCCCCCGTGGTCCTCCTCAGCGCGGGGGCGACAAGGAGTCTTGCGCGTGGCGCACCGGGAGTGGTCGGAGCGGTCACGCCGGTTCACGTCCCTGAGCAGTAGACTTGGCACATCAGCACAAGGCTCACCGGGCACCGAGTATGGCCGGTCTGGTCTAGGCGGACGACCGGAGTGACGTGGATCAGGGATTGTGGTCTAGTACCCGCCAGGCGGGTCACGGAAAGCAAGCAGCCGGCCAGCAGTCGCCTGGATCGGTCTCCGGGTCCCCTTCTCTCTCTGTCTCTCTCTCGTGGCCTGGCTTTCATTCTTCTTCGTCTCTTGCGTCCATCCATCGACCATGCTGCCGACCCTGTAGCCTCGATGGATTGCTTCTACACATAGTCGGGTCGGAGGCAGAAGGAGAGAGAGAGAGAGATTAGCTGATCAGCTGCAGAGTGATCGATCTTCCCACAGCGTTGGCGAGCAGGAGAGCGTGCTTCGGAGAGCTGGAAAATTTGGGTCGCTTCTCGAGCGCCTGGGGTCCGCAGCTGGTCTGAGGTGATTGGAGTGTGCTGTTTTATGATTGAGGCAGGCGAGCGGAAGAGCAGCGGAGGTGGGCCGAGGGATTCAATTGGTGGTCAATTGCGTGGAACTGCGAGCCTGTAGTAGAGCAGGCAGGCGATAAATTCTGGCAACCATGATGGCGACGGTGGCCACGAGTGTGGAGCTGAGTGTGTGCCCTTCCCGTCTGTGGACGGCGTTGAAAGATGGACCCAACTTCATGCCCAAAGCAGCGCCTTTCTTCTGGTCCAAATGGGAGGTTCTGGAAGGAGACCCCAACACCATCGGCAGCTTGCTTTTGTTGACTTTCAATCCAGGTACTGGAATTTCAGATGATGTCGCTGATCATGATCATGATCGGTAACCTTTGTTCCGGTTGAGCATCTGTGCGGAATTGAGTTTTTTGGACGTTGCTGAATTGGATTCTCTCCATGGATTTTCTTGTGTACATTTCTCCTGCTCCCCGTCTCCCATGTCGAGATGGAGCTGCTCACTAAGCCAGCGAGGACACCAAAGCTCGAGGTTCTAGAACCCCACTTTGCATTCCCGTCGCTTAGCCCAATCTCAACTCCTTGAGGCGCATTCCTTCAGTCGCCCACTTCATCAAGAGCAATCTATTTCTCTCTCCATCCATCCGATTCGGGCCGAGACTGGGTTTTGGATCTCAAACTGAGCACCTGAGATTGATGAAGAAGCTTTAGGGTCCTAGTGCAGTAAGCTCATGCTGCAGCTTTCGGAAGGACGAGTCTGAGGCAGGAGATGGGGATAGGGATGTTGAATGAATGACTTACTGACCGAGTCGTGGTCAACCATGTGTGAAAACAGCAGCGAGAGGGGATCTGCAGATCAAGGTGAAGGTGGCAGATTTCAGCGACGAGGAGATGTACATTACTTATGAATCTTTACTGGAGTCAGATCCACTTTACAAACAAATGAGGGTCACCATCTCGGTGGACCCAGCTTCGGACGGGAGCAAGAGCATGGCGACGTGGAGTGTATTCTACGAGCCCGTTGGAGACCAGGGCCCTCCTTCCAAGGAGAGCAGGCAACTCCTTCTCAAGAGAATGGAGCAGTACTTGCTCTCGCACGACGACTACCTACAGACCGTCCCGACCATGAACGAGCCGTCGTCCTAGATTTCCTCGGCTGCCGGGATTGTGGTGGAGAGGATGGCACCGAACGCTGAGAAACTCCTGACCTCCCTCCCTCTCTGCCGCTCACTCGAGAAATTAATAAAGTTTTGATCCGAGGCTGAATCTGTGCCTTCCAGTCCGACCTCAACGAGGGCACAGGTCAAGTGGAAGTCCAGGAAGATCTGCGGTAGTTGTAAGATAGTCGAGCATTTTGACACTTTGGGTTGTTGTGTCTTACTGGGCCCCTAATTGCTCGAGGGCCCGAAGATCTCTGCTCGCTGTATAGTAGATAGATTGGTTGAAATGTTCGCATATCAAAGTAATAGGATCTTGAATCGATTGATTTGTCTCAACACTGTCTCGGATGTACAATTCGTCGTCTTTCGTCTTCATTCATCTTCTTTCGTGTCTTTGTCTGGAATGAGCTGGTGCAGAAGCAGAAGCATTCATTCCAAACACAAGGTGCATGCTCAACATTTGAACCGCGTGCATTCTGGTCGTCCCCCGTGTCTGGATGTGATGGATGAGACATAGTATTCCGTGGACTCTCTGCTGTGCTGCTTCCAGATTTCTTCCAAGGCCGCCAAGTCGACGATGGTCCGTCAATTGTGCGATCACTGCAAGCCAAAGTCAAGTCCGCCATCGTGTTCGATCGTGAATGTAGTGGCCCCAGTGCATTCATTCTAAATCGCGCATTTGTCCGGATGAGCTTTCAATTCAATTCAAATCCTAGTGACGCCACCAATTTCTAATCGAGACTTAGTGAGGGTCTTGTTGGGTGATGTTCCTCTCGCCTGCTCGACACGAGCGCCATCTCTGGCAGCTTGTGTCGAAGATCCAATTGTCAGCCTCGATAGGGACTGACTGACCCTGTGATCGAACTCCATGTCGGGGTGGTGATTGGAGTGATCCGAGTCGTCCATGTCCGCGTCCATGGTCTGAGTCACTGTCACTTCACAAAGGGCGGAGTTCAGCATGAAATCCTGGGACAGTATGAAGCCAAGTATCAGTTTGACGGTAGAAGGAATCTGAAGCGCGGAGTCAAGGAGCTTTGACGAGGTGGGGGATTTTGCATGACGGACTCTGGCAGAAATTTTTTCCGATTGGGTTCGAGCCATCATCCACTTTGCGATGCCATGCGATGGGATTCTTTACAGCGATGTAATAATCCCCTTGGGCCCGCACACATGAGTCTCAGAAGGCGAGCATCGATCAAAAGAGTGGTCCATGATTATGTACTCTCTTGATTAGTCAACAAGAGCAGCAGAAATTAGTATCCGATGTCAGATCGGACTCACGATCGAAGAACGCTCTGGGTCGTGAGAGAAAGATTCACCGAATGCTAAACCAGCCCGTTTTGTTTTGGCGTAGATCCTGCATGACTCGCACCGCACCGAACCCTTGGCATGTGCATGAATTCGTGTGCAGTGAATCCCGTTGACTTTGTTTTATCCGTAAGGAATGGAAAGAGATAAAAAGGATTGATTCCGCCCCTTTTGCAGGCGTCATGTGATTGGAACATTCGTAATGAATGAAGATTTCGATCCTCTCGTAGCATGTAACTTTCGGATGCGTAGGTTCGACGAGTGGTCAAGGTAGGACGACAAGTGGTCGGCTCCAGGAAGTGAAATGAACGTATCGCTTTCAATTCTAGCGGACACCTCTCGAGCGATTCATACAATTCGGCGAGAATCAGATCGAGCGGCAAGGTATGACTCGATAGTCGTAACTTGCAACGGACTCGGCTCCAGATGCGGAACACAAGTCCGCATGAGGAGGAGGGCGGCATCCATTGATGCTCAGCACTCTCGTCACGTGCATCGATGGGCTTCGGGAGTCCATCTTCGATAGAGGGCCTTGGGCCTTGTGCAGCGGGCGGGATTCTTCCCTCGACAGGATCTGAAAGCTCGAAGGAGTAGGCTCTTGCTGACGACGATGATGTCTCCCGCCAGACTTTCGCCCACGAACGCCAGGTCTGGGCGAGACTCGACCACCAAGAAAGTCCGTCGGCATGCATTTGTGCGGTGATCTCAAGTCCATGAAAGACCACAGCCTCGACGATCTCGAGCTCGAACGAAGCATGGCTGACTTGCCATCACACGGACAACGATCCTCGACTGTCATCGCCAATCTCTCCAGGGAATCACAGGCCGCCGCGTTGTGAAGGAAATATGCGGAATCCGACGAGACGCAGGACTTTGATACGACCGACCTTTTCTGTCAGCAGGTCTCCCGCTGCAAGTCACCGTCCGCACTTCTCCTTCCCAAATCAACCATATACCCCTAACTGACAAAACGGACGACCGGATGACTTCCGGTAGACATGGTCACGTAGCCGGCAAATCTTCGGCTAGCCGATACAAAGGGCTAGCCGGCTAGGGACTCAAATTTAGCCGGCTAGTCGATTAGCCGGCTACTTAGCCGATTAGCCCACGGCTATCGGCCGAAAACGTATTTCGACTGAAATAAGGATTTGGGGTATAATTTCGGATGAATTGGCCGAAATAATCGGCCGAAATCTTGAAGTCATTCGGAGTTTTCGGATCGTTTGCGGCCTCGGACATCGTTCGGGCTTGCCGGTAAGTTGACGGCTAGCCGGCTGTATGTCCGGCAAAAAGATTTATTAGCCGGCTAGCCGTGAGCATGCCTATCTTCCGGTGTCCTCGAGTGCCTCTCCACCCCTTCGCTTCGAGCCCAGTTTCCCGATCGTCGATCTGAGCCTGATCCGTGATGACGGATAACGTTTCCCGGCACCCGTCGCCAACCCATGCAGGTCCAGGCCGAAAGAACCAGCCGATGGAAGAATCTTGGATTCTAGTTGCAAATGCTCCCTCTCGTGCTCGTTGCTGGCGAGTTCGTTGATGCCTCGCGAGAGTTCGTGAGATATTTCAGAGAGCAGAGAGAGAGAGAGAGTCAACCCTACAATGACATCCTGATCGTCTCCGCAACTGTACGGCTCGAGGGTCGAGAGCATGTACGCCGATGAGTAGAGTAGATGGAGTACTGGACTTCGGACAGGTTACCTCTACTCGACCTGTACCAGAGAGAGAGAGAGAGAGAGAGCATTATCTTATCGAAATACTGTTATGGAATCTGGGGATCTGGCAAATTGAGAGCACAGGGTCCACTTTGACCCCATCGTGCTACGAATGCCGGGTCATGCAACGACATCATTGACCCCATTCCGAAGGCCCGGCTTCTCATATGGCGCCGCTGACGAAGCCATGTGACGCATGCGGGATTGGGTAGATTTCGTCACCGAAGATCAATGTTCGTGACTTCACATCGATCCTGATCGCTTCGAAAGTCCAACTTCTCGAGAGAGAGAAGGAAAAACTTGTTCCTCGTTTAAAGTAATCCGTTTGAATTTTGACATAAGAAGGGCTGCGAGCTGTCTGACTTGACATTGGTTGACCCGCGATAACCTCTGGCCATGACATGCTTATTTCCTCCTCCATCATTAGCTAACGAAAAACGTTCTCGCCGTTCTTGTCGGTTTAATGCGTCAATTCTCTTTTGACATAATATAGCATCCATTAAGAGTAGGGTATAATTTAATTTAATTTAATTTCAATAATTTCGGACTGTTTATTTTAAGGTGATTCTTATTTATGAAGATAACTTTAGACTTTATATACTAACATCTCGAGCGATACCTGGAGGGGAAAAAACTCAGATTGGCGATCGCCGTACCTGTTGTATTTGTATACACTTTCACATACGAAATGTACGTAGATAAAGAAAATAAAGAATAAAAATGTACGTAGTTAATGATAGAAAAAGAAATTGGTATTATGGTCTTTGGTTTTGAAATATTCTCACAAGTAGCACAATCATCAACGTCCCTAGCCAGAGTTGCAAAAGATGACAAGACTTCCTCTTACTAAACATAGTGATCTATATATGGAGACAATTGATGGCGGTCAACTTAGACTAGAAACCATGGCAATGGGTCAGCCTCTGTGCTATTCTTCCAACTCGCTCCAGCTATCGCTACTGCAAGAGAGGTGAGTTTTCAGCTACAATAAGAAGCTTGAAACTAGCTGAAATTAGCCGGACGGCGTCGTTCTTTCCGACATCAATGAAGGTTAGAGTTCAGTGTATTTGCGCTCAAACCTTCAATTGAAAAATAGATTGTTTCCGCTCAGGAGATAGGGCTTGCACAATGAATGACTCCGCGACATCATTAAGTCACCACAAGACTTTCCTTGGGGTTGTGCAGATGATTCGAAGGTTCAAACAGCTCCTCATACTCGTCTGATTCAACGTGCATGCTACTGAGTTCGTGAAGGATCTAATCATCAAAACTGTTCGTCTTGTATCTGTGCGCCATCAGTTTGACAAGGACACAACGTCTACTTGTTGATGGGCCAGAAGTGCCTGCAAGCATCAGGCAAGATGCTTGCAGAGACCACTAGCTAAAAGCCACATGACGCAAAAGGGAAAGAGGACGAACAAAACAGAGAGAGATTTTATATGCAAGCTAATAGACATGAACTCTACTTGATGGAAATTGTTCAATGGCGTAAGTGAATCGCTCTTGTTTGAAGATAATGTCGGGGAATTTCTACTTGAAGGATTCGGCATGCAGACGCGAAATAATAAAGTCTAGTTAGTCTAGTGATCTCGCCTTTTGGCGAATCTTTCTCAATTTATTCAAAACAACTCAACATGTATTTAGTGTACCATATCTTTTATGAAACAAATAGTAAAATAATCTAGATTTTGATCTTTTTAATTTCGGTTGGCCCAACTATTTGAATCAACGAGAGTAATCTGAAATGACTTTATGAATGTGCATATTTATGAAATTTGATATTTTTCTTTTTCATCAATCTACAATGACCATAACCTGCTGCAAAAAATTGTTTTTCTTTTCTTCTTTTCCTCCTACAATATTTATTTCACTTAACCTTCCTCAAAAAATGTTTGTGGGTTTGCTAATTATCTTCGTTGATTACCACAAAACCATCATGTTCAATTAATTCAAAAGTATCCATCAAAGAATATGACAAAGGTTCAAAACTAGATAAAAGTTACATCCACGGAGAAAATGAAAGTCGATTCAAGGATCTACTGAATTAAAGTGAATGAGATAGGAACACCTACCATATCTATGTTTGAAGGTTTGAAAATTTTGAAATCAAAAATTATCTCCCAGTTTCATGAATATGATATATTCAAAACATTGAAAGACTTCCATTCAAGTTCAAGTATTACAGTAGTATATTACATCATATTATGTATGTTTCGACGAAACCAAAAATCATAGAGGTCTCACGAAATAGGTGATCTAAAGCGTGTTAGAATTTTTTGCGCATTTCTATGAAAACCAACTTGTACAACAACTTTTACTCAGATTATGATGTCAGACTGTAAATGTTGAATCACTGAAAGGAGAGAATACGGACGCTCGGTATGAAAGTGTGCATCTCTGCTGATCATGTACATCGTTGAACTTTATGCAACTGCGAAGAGGGGCACATAAGAGCTTGGTTTATACGCACATAATGAGGATAATTTTTTCTTCGTCATTTTGTTCAGATATTTGAAACTTTCTAGCATTACTATGGTTCGCGCTATAACCAAGAATGAAGTCCTCACAACAATGTATCAATCTTGTGGTTCATGTCCAAAGTTTCTCATTTCGACTTACCGAGGATACGTCTGCACTCGACTCATTGTCTTGACCTGGTTATAAACCGACTTGGTCACTTGCCCAACTCGACTGCTGCCTTAACAAGGAACGTGGCCATGTTTCCGCTGACAATGCATTGACACTTGCAGGTTGGGTAGTATTGGTTTCAGTTGCGTCTAAACAGCCCCTTAGCTCTCACTCATGCATCGAGAACATGATGCAGTAGTTCTTGACATGATACTGAATCAGGCAGAGATCTTTCAAAACCAAAAGGGGCACAAACTCCTCCTAAGAGAAAAGTTTATGATCCATGCCCAGAGTAGGTGGGCATATCAGCACAACAGTATCCAGGCTTTCTTCCCCTAATCCACATAACAGAATTCCCAATCTAAAGCGCCCTTTTTCCATTCATATGCAAATCCAATCGTCAATCTTGCGAAAGTTCTGTGCTTCAATGTCCCCGACCAAGCACACGTTGTTGCCATGCTTTGATAGCACAGCAAGAGACAGGTTAGAAACGCATTGTTTACTCCCATGCGTCGCACATTTCTGTTTATGATTCTGATTCGACTCATGTCTTCAGTTTTAGATCATCGATTCCAAAAACTTTCAAAGTTTTAAATCTGCAATGAGAAATGCGGATCATAGCAACAGCGTTTGCTTGGTGGGGGAATTGAAGCACATCATCTAATGATTGAAAGCGATATAATGCACGCGTGCAGGAAGAATCTGAAACTGGATGCCTTACTCCGTGGGTCAGAATCACAAGAGCATGGCACAAGAGAGCTCGGAAGTTGAAGAAGCGACAGTTTCAATAGATGATGAATAATATGTACAAGATATAGAAGAGTTATGACGACACAGGCAGCTGGTAAAGCCTTGCGTTTGGGGAGAGACTTGTACCCTAGAAATCTATGGATTTCTAAAACCGTAACACAAATGAGCAATGACGATGTCCAAACTTCCTAAGCCTCACGAAAGCTAGATTGTAAACCACAGTTTACAGTTCTCAGATTGCAGAAGAATCTATCGACGTCCCGTCCACACAAGTCCACTGGCTACATCGTCTCGAAAACGCACACTTTGTATAAGAGATTTTCAATGAAATTTCAAATATCAGCAAAACTTATAAACTCGAAGAAGTGTCGTTGGAGGTCGCGCTTCTAGTTGAGAAGTTAGTTAGTCCGGTCGCTCGTTCGTCCGTGGGGAATTTACAGAGCTCAGCTGATGGCGCACATTTGCAAGCAGCAACAGAAGCCCGAACAACCGTTGGGGTAGTTCTTGAGGTATATTTCTTTGCCCAGGCCAACGACGAAGAATTCGAACGACTTTTCTCCATCGGCCATTACAACGCGTGTCACTGGGTTCATGCGCAGTTGATGCCTCTGACATATCACTCTTGCGGCCGGAGGAATAGGACTGTTATAAGTGAACAGATCTGCCGATAGCTTGGAAAGCCCGTATGAGTTCGGGAATATCACAGGTTTACATTGATTTGCCTGATTTGCGTACAGTTGAACAGTACTTGCCTCGTTAAACACATCATCCGGCACCGATGCTGCATAACTCGAGGCACTCACTTTCTTATTCACCAAAGTGCTCCTGCCAAAATAGCTCCGAGGTCAGAAACACATCCCATTGTAAGACTATTTTCAAGCCCAAGCTCACTTCGTCTGATGCTACCCTCCCTTCTGCGTGTTGGTGCAAACGGTCGAGAGTCGCATCAAATGCTTGGATGGCATCTCCACGACATCATGACGAAGAGACAGAGACACAGAGAGCAATTCATGACCAACTTTTAATGTGCCCTCCCGCATTCGCAGAGACGACAGAAAGCTACACCAAGGTTGAATGTGACTTACCATCTTACAATCAACGTTCTGCTGTAAAGAAGAGCACCATGACCATCACATTTGAGGCATTTGACCAACCCACGAGAGTTACAATGGAAGCAGAATAAACTTCCTCTACCTTGACATCTTTGGCATCTGCACACAACATTTCGAGCCAGTGACTGTCACTGATTGATGCAGATAGAGACTCGCGTACTATTATACCAAGTTTGTTATTAATATTGACTAGAAAGCACTTACAACCTACTGCGGAAATTTGAAGGAGCATGCATTAGGAGTATCAGAAGTATTGGTGACTAACAGAACGTAGAAACGATATTACTTCAAACCCATAGCTCCAGCTTAGTGGATGCTTAACAAAACGGAGCTATGAACGGGTGATGTCGTAAAAGAGGTGCTTACTCCGTGTCTGAGCCGTCGTGATGAGCAATCAGTCCCCTGCCATGGCAAACTGTACACTTGCTTGTTCGTCCAGGTCTGAATTGTCCGGGTGCGACATCTGCATGACAAGGTGGGCATAGTACTTCCCCCCTCCCCGAGCAATCTGGGGGCAATTAATGGCATAATTAGCAAGTTACTAGCTTTCAGCAACAAAGCTTCAAAAGGGATGAATGTGAGGTTAACTTCCCCAAAGGCACGAGGTGTGGGCTCAGTGAAGCTAATCATCAACTATCGCTTTCGAACACCGAAACCTCGAAAAATTCGTGTGATTGGAGCTTACCCCCACAGTTCTCTACCCTTTGTGAAAAGGGCAGCTTCAAACGAGCTTCTTTTCGAGGAGTAAATAGCAGTGGAAACTCGTCTCTCATGTCTACCTCCCAGGCACCAGGTGCACGACCATACTCTTTACTAGCGTAGGCATCACCTGTGTAAGCCTCTACGTCTTCAGTTAAGTCTCTCTCCTCAATAAAGGTTTCCAAAGTTCCAACATAAGCATTACAGTCTTCAACCTTCTTGATGGGCCACTTGTGAGCGGGATTCCTGTTCCAGCAACACTGACCATCAACATGCTCACAAAGCAGATTCCGAATTTCCTCCTCTTGAAGTCCCTGCACACTACACGGCGGCCAAGGTCGAAACGCTTTAGATGAAAAGGCGTATCGTCAAAGATTGAGAACGATGATTATTGGTCCAGATTATCTGTGTGTTCATACGTTCACAGATACATAGAGAGAGGAATTCGGGATATAACCAAAAAGTACATTGGCAATTCAAATTAGACAGGGTGGGAACGGAAGGAAGTCGAAGAGGTTAAATATGGATGACAAATGGCACTTCATCCAGGAACAATGTGGTTGTTAGGAAATGCGGATTAAACTCTAGAGTATCGAGAAGTACCCGTCAATAGAAGAAGGCAGGTGTTCAGGAGATAATTGTCGATAATAACAGCAGGGACTATCACAAAAGCAGGGAATATGAAAACAGGAGTAATGTCAACGACAACTTGAATGCGAAAAGTAAGAGAACTTCGGAAACAAAACGAAGGATCATTAATCGATATATATGAGGCTTCACAGATTAGGTCATGTATGTCACAATGGACACTGGTGTAGAGGGTGTGAGAACGTACGGTGAGGAAGACAAGGGAAGATCGGGCAGATATTTGAACATAGACACGGAGGACCAGAGAATCAAATTGCTGAACATTTGAGTTTGTTGGAGGTACATTAACGAGCAGTGTAAGCCAACCAACAACGTGCCCACACCATGTGGACAGCCCAGAGCAGCAAGTACCCGTGAGATTGCTTTTAAAGAAAGTGCACGGCACACTACCCACAACTAACAGCTAATACACACATACCTCTGCAGTTCTGCTGGAGTCAGGGCATCGAACACAGGTTTTACTGGTGGGATGCCTCCGTGGCCACCTACATGACAGACGACACATGTTAGTTCGAACTGCAATGCCTTCCCAACTGCACGGAAATAAGAAATAGCCTTACATCTCTAGGGCCCACATCGTCCTCACAATGACCAGAGAGGTTCACAGACTCAAGATGAGCAAGCATTTCCCCAAAAGCGCCCCTTGCAATTCGGTTTCAGAAAATTTTGACCGACGTGACACTCGCACATTTTAGGAGTCTGATCGCGTCGAGTTTCTCGAACGAAACAATGATCCATCTATTACACACGAGTATTTTGGAAGCCACTGCAGCACATGCTGTGTATACTTGCGGGCCGATTCCTGATTGCAGAATCCTCGCTTCGTTGTAGACCAGCGGGCCTGACTAGAAATGCCTCCTTCACTGTAGCGCGAGGACATGATTCGCACATCATTTCCAAAAATTTGACAAACTCGGCCAGCAAAATCTCACCTACAGTGACGTCGGCGGTGTTCTCCGGAGTAACGAGAGCGGCATACAAATAAGCATGGTACGGGTCTTGGACTGCTGCCTGCCGAATCTCTTGGCCACTGGCTACGATGGGTCCATCACTAGCTGGGGGCACCACAAACTGAGCCCATGTCGCCCATTGCTGGCTCTTCTTCTGTGACCATTCTTCTCTTCCATCCGTATCCGGATACAACACACCTGCAATTGCACAAAGTCCTGCTGAGCTCATATCGCCACTACGACTACAGCATACGCATGAGCGAGACCGAGGGGTGACATTCTTCACCCAAAAAAAAAAACACAAAATTGACTTGCTTGCCTTGATGGGTGGAATCTTTAAGCAAAGGTTCTGTTTGCGACGATGTCATGCTGAAAAATTCCTGCCTGCCTTGCAAAAATGCCCTTCTATGTCTCGGAAGCTCGAGTCTCAGATATGCGTGATTGACAGAACTGAAGAAGCAGATCCACGAATCAAACTCGGAATCAAACTTCGCTCTCGAGACGGGTTCCAGTCCACAATCACCTGTAGTCACCACCACGCCTTCACAGCCCCATTACCATTCCTCGCCTTCGGAGCAGCAGACACAGCAGACACAGCAGGCCACTAGTCCACGAGTCCACTGCGAGCCCACGAAGCAAGCCACACCTCACTCACCACACTGCGCTACGCTTCCCTCCATTCCATTCCATTCGGCTCCGCTCCTCGAAAGAGCGATGCCCCTCTCTCTCTCTCTTCCGTTCCCCTCTGAGCCCGCCCTGCCTTCTGTAGGGATCACGCTCCTCGCCCGGCTCCTCGGGTCCCTTGCTTCACTGCAGCCTCACGGCCTGCCCTGCCCCTCGCCCTCGGCCTGTCCGCCCTTTTACTTTACAGTACTTTGCTTCCCCTCCCCTCCCCTTGCCTTGCCTTCCGCGTCCGGTGGGGTCCAGTCCGCGACTGCTGCTCCTGCGGGGTTCATCATAGCATCGGCATTCGGGGGCGAACGGAGAATCCTACAGATTCCGTCCACCGGGCACGGATGGAGGAGCTCCTGGATCCCAGGAGGGCGGGGAGTGATTGCTGCCCGGCTGGCCGGCCAGTTGGCAGAGGGTGCGGCACGCCCACCTGGGATGCGGTTGACTCATCGACCGCAACCGCTGTGAGCCGAAGGGCGGGTTGGATGGATGGATGGAGGTTCGGGAAACCCTGCTGGACTAGCCCCTCCTGAGCCTGGCGCATCGCATCCATTTGACTGCTTTGACTCGTCAGTCTTGTCCGCTGGGCTATGCCTCGCTCCCGTCGAGACATCTGTCGCGCTTGCCACTAAGGCCACGACATGTGGGACATCTCCGATTTCGTCCTCCTCCGCGTTCTTTGGTTCCGTGGAGGGACTCCCGGTCCCTTGATCGGGCCAACTGCGGAACCCGGCTTTCGTGCGACTGGAAAGTACGCGTGACCACTGGACGCTGCCCGCGTGCGCTCCCGAACGAGTCCCGTGTTCTCCACAAAGCTGGACGGACCCGACGGAGGGAGGGAGGGACGAGGCTCGTTCTTCGGTTGGCCCAGATGTGGGAACCGTGACACGACGGCGAAGCGGACGAGGATCCACGCCAGAGTTCCGACGCTTACCGGGAGGTACCTTGCTTCGGGAGCAAATATCTCCTACACGCTTGCCTCCGCGCAAGGGCTTCCCGACGAGAGGCGGTCACCGGCCACGCGGGCTCGGCTTTCTGGGCCTGCGAATGTGAGAACGCATTCACGTGCATCCGCAAATGATCATGCCAGATCCGGGACGACTAAAAATAGAGCACTAATGATGTGCAGCCGTGACTGTCTGTCCAAGGGCCTCCTTCGGTAATCATTGCCATGGTGGCCTTTCCTGTGACTCGGCTCAGGTCGGGACTCGAAAGGCTGCCATCCTGATCTGCCGAGGACCCGGAATCAAGAGTCCCTCGTTTCCGGCACGAGACGAGCATGGCCCGTATGAGGAGCAGGCCTCTCTAAATACGGAAAATACAGAACTCAAGAGTACGATTGTCGCATTTTGTTTTTAGAAAGTTACCTATTTGTTATCTAGGTGGTTTTACTAGAGACACTAACGGAATCATTCAATTAAAACTTTGGAATGAAGGTTTGTGACCATTTTTTTTTTTTATCTAGGTGGCTTTACAAGAGAAACGCTCAACAAAAACTTTGTGGTGTCGAAGTGTGACAATGCCTTCGTTGGTCTAGGTGGCTTTACAAGAGAAACTAACGGACACACTCAACTAAAACTTTGTGGCGACGGTTTTTGACAACGTCTTAGTTTATCTAGATGTCTTTCCTAGAAACACTCAACTAAAAATTTGTGGTGACAGTTTGTGACAATGTCTTCGTTGATCTAGACGTCTTTCCTACAAACACTCAACTAAAACTTGGTGGTGACGGTTTGTGACAATGTCTTCGTTGATCTAGATGTCTTTCCTAGAAAACTAACGGAGTACTTTGCGGTGACAAATGATGAGTTCAACCAAGCAAGTTCTAATTTTTTGATTCCTTGCTTACCTCAGGAACTTGTAGTTTTGAAAACACAATAAAAAGTTGTTTAACTAGTTTTAAAATATCAAGATCGTCTTAAAATTTTCTTGGGAACGAAAGGACATGGGTAAAAAAGTGAAAGTCAACAAACAACTTCTGATTTTTGTGTCCTGAGAACGTTATGAAGTCAATGTTCTCGGTTCACAAAAATCTATTGACTAAACAGTATGATTCCAGGTAGTAAGAAAAGATGTACTCAACTCATGGAATTTTTGGGAGAATTAGCTTGCCCATTCGTTATCTGTGTAAAGTGATTTATCAAAACTAAAATGGGAAAATTATATTCAAAAGAAAAAAAACACCATTTGTCCATCGAAGTTGTATTACATTGCCGTCAAATTTAGCCGAAAAAGTGAAATTTTAAATCAAGATTCGACAGAAAACTGTCAAATTCTTCATATTCCATGAATTGAGAATTATCCTTATTTTGTTGAGATACGGAATGATGAGAAAGCCCTGTCGACCGCGGGAGGACCGCGTCGGTGGAGTAGATGATTGTGCGGCAGATCGAAGACCCGGGCGCTCCACCGTAAACCTCTGAGCTCGAGCGTCCGGCCGGGCGGTCGACGTGTCGCGGCAGCGGTGAAATGCGATGACACGAAGGACCGTCCGTCCGTAAGGACGGAAGCTGCCCCGCGACCTTCAGATATTTGCCGACCGTCTGTCTCGACATCTCGGCAGCCCCGACGACAGCGACTCTCGTCGACGATCGAAATCCAGGGGCGCATTGGTCGCACTTATTTCATGACAAGGGATTGATCGACCCAATGGCCTTCGGACAGACCCGAACAAAATCTGTGGACTCGCCAGGGAACATTCGCTTTCATCCGTCAGTCTTTTGAGCGCAAGGCGGAAGCACTCGAGCAGACGCCTGTCGAGGAATCAGTCGGACGACTCGGAATGAGGTCGCCAACAGAAGGACGTCGGAAACAGCTGAAAAGGTGACGAATCGAAATTCGATTCCATTCATTCCGCGAGCGTATCAGAATGTTGAAAGTTTTGTTTTCATCGCAGTGTAATTCCCGAAGAGGAGAGGGATGCAGACATGAGGGCCCCTGATTCCTTCCTTACCTGAAGGAGCGTCGCTCCTCTGAGGGACGTGGAGCGACGCTCGAGCTCGGACAGCTCACCAGTGCGAGTGAGTTGGATCGAAGATCCTGAGAGCAGCGTTTGCATCCCGTTCCTCCTCGGGAATTGAATTGTGATGGAACGGTGGACCGATGAAGATTCTTCGAGCCCGAGGTGGACAGAGTGCACTTTCCCGTCTCGATCGAGCACAGCAATCCATGACTCGATCGATCGATAGAGCGAGCGAGCGAGCAATACAATATAGAAAAGGTATTCGGTGATGGCAAGGCCTCCCGACAGACCAGCTCGATCCTGCCCCACTCGCCGATTGGATGGCGATGGAACACAATCTAAGAGCGAATCAGAAGCAGTCACAAGCGAGCGTCACTTGCCTCCCACCTACTCCTGCTGAACGGCATCTGATCGTCGGCCGCCACGGCCGCCCATCAGTGTGAGTCACCGTTCGGTTCGAAGGTCGACGTGCGGTCCAAGAGCTTCGCGCTATCGAGAGGCTCAAACTCCATTCGCTTAAGCGGCCACATGATAGGCAGGCAGGCGATCCAGAGGAATCGCACTAGCTCTGGCACCTCGGGAAAAACAATTGCCCAAACACTTGCACCGATTTGTCACTGCTACCAATAGCCAATCCCGCCATGGGCAGCGGCCACCGCCAGTACGAGCTACACATCCCTTCTCTACTCCCTTCTGGGCACTATCCCATCGCTCTGCATACTCGCATGTGCTGAGGTTAAATGAGGACCTCTAGATTTTGCGCATCTCCTGAATGTGCTCGTAACACTTTCAGCAATGCTCTTCACGTATGCCTCTGCTGAGACTCATTCGCATGGATGGAACGACGGCATTGGATTTACACCCCCTTACCGCACAAATGAAATGATCCTCGAATCAGAGTTTTGGTTGCACCTTCGGCGGTCCTTGAAGTTCAGAAGGTGATGAAGATTCTCGTCGAGTACAGTCTGTAAACATCAAATGTCATCAGAAAATGTGGATTGTCGTCGGCACACAAAACCGTCTCCATCCAAGTACCTCAGTGCCGTGTGGATGGAACATGAATCAGGAGTAGTCTGACGAACGTGATGCAATACTGGAGACGAGGCGATCATTTGCCATTTCGTGGTGGTGTACTAGACCGACGTATCTCCTCATGTCATACCTTGCTTTTTGAAAGGAGGCGGTCATTACAACTGCATGAGGTGCATCACCAGTACAGTACGAGGCAAGCGTTGCTGCGAAAGCCTGTGGCTGCAGCGCCCGAAGAAGGATTACAATTGCAACCATCAATCATCCTGACTACACCGTACTCAAGACTGCATTGCATCGCTTGTTGTGATCATGAGCTTCACGAATGGATGGGTCGGAGGAGAAGGGAGAACTCTTCGTAAACTATGTGGCAACATTCCGAAACTAGAAGCTAGAATGTGGTGCCCTGTTCGATTGTGCTTCGTTGAGATTACCTTTCATGAGGGACGCCTCACCCTCGTCTCGATACGGACTGGTCATCCTGAAAATTCTTCAGGATGACCACTCCACTCAAATCAAATCTCGTCCTCTCCTTTGCACCGATTCTTCTGTTTCTCACATTTGCATCACAGTTGAAGATTTTCCTCCGTATTGAGGAGGACTTTCTTCTCTTTCGCCACAACGCAGTCCGATGAGATTTATGCTGCAGTGGAGTTTTATATTCCCAGCACGTGTCCACAACGCTCCACTCGATGGGTTCAGGCTGAGGACATTCGTCTTCGACTGACGCGCGTTGTTTATGCCTTCCCACCTTCCACCTCGATGTCCTGGTATTCGGATTCAAAACCATGTCTGTCATTGCCAAGATCTTGAACTTGATATTCTGACTCGTTATGTTCCGGAGATTTTCTCCGTTGCACACTAATGTACTTAGATGTTCTGATTTTGACTTTTCACCTTTCACGGTCTCTCATGGCATCACAAGCGCTTACAGGGGAGCCCGTCTGTCGCTTTCATACAGATGTAGTTTCATCATACAGCTTCGAAACTCCAACCTCGATGCAGCAGATCTGTTCACTCTCCAGAACACGAAAGTAATTCGAAATCTCGATCCAGGTCTGAATTCCTTCGAGACCACAAGCATGTAAAGCACTACTCCATGGAGTGGACATTAAAGGCTGGCAGAATTTGTCAAAGCTGGAGCATGATAATTGCCTTAAAGGAAGACGTCCAGAG